GGTCAGGAAGTGAGTTTTGGTACACCCAAAGAGGAGAAACCTATATACATCAAACTATCACAACTACATCGACCTAAACGTAGCCCCAACTATGTCGTCACAGTGTAAGTAATTGACCGTTCTTCCATTATCCGGACCCGTGAAGGTCCGGGTTAGAATATTGGCCTTCAGTAACCCATGCTTGTCGTAAGAGGCGACTAACGGGATCGGGTGGTCAAGCTCGCTGACTTGGTTGACACATGTCATCGGTTCCCATGATCGATGCTCATGCTGCTGATCACTGGATTGTCTGGTCCAGACTCGATTATTTACAGACCGCCGCCATATAGCTGGAATATTGCTGAGTGCGGCGTAAACTCACTCACTCACTCACTATCACAATGCATCGACGCTTTGATTGTTGCTCATGTTTTCAATCACAGGTTTGCCTGGTCCAGATTTAATTATTTCCGCCGAGGCAGCTGGAAAGTCAACGACTGTGAGTAAAACGTCATTCACGCACTCCATCACGTTCTAATTCGTACTGGGGCGGTGGGGTAGCCTAATGGTTAAAGCGTTGGCTCGTCACGCCGAAGACCCGGGTTCGAATCCCCACATGGGCACAATGTGTGAAGCCCATTTCTGGTGTCCCCCGCCGTGATGTTGCTGGAATATTGCTAAAAGCGGCGCAAAACCAAACTCAGTCAGTCAGTCTAATTCGTACTTCCATGGACGTGAAACAAAAAGCACAAATTAGACTACCTCACAAACTATCTTAAAAATAATCATTTATTCCCAAACATTGTGTTAATAATTTGCAATTATGTTTTTTTTCCCGAATGAACTTTTCCTCATTCCTGTCAGCTGCGTCTATTTCAACTGGCTAACAGCTAACAGCATGGACCACAGGACTCTGCACGTGCGTTAGCGCGCGTGCAAGAATCTGACGTCTGCCACCGTGTCAGAGATTTACAATGGCAGACGGAAAAACTTCCCACCAAACTTGGAGATTTCCTTCGATAAAGTCGCGTTGCTTCAATGTCACAGGCGATAGTAGTTTTGAGTATTTTTAGCAAATACAGTTATCAACACTTTATCTTTCAAAGGTTTTATAATGTTTTATTGAACGGAATGTGGACAGTCGGGTTAGTGCAGCTTGTTTTTAGCGCACCAACTGACCTCAAAGAAAATCCATATTGCAAGAGTTGTTCATATAGCAAATATATTCACTGAGCAAAACAATGTTCAAAGGTATGCCTGGAGACAGTGATTCCCGAGCTATGTCAGGAAGCCATGTGAATCATCAAATCTGACCAAACAAACCATTGATCGGTATTATAAGCAATAACGAGCCATTCTGGTATTACTATTATATGGGTATATATATAGCGCTATAGTCCATTCTATGTCCATGCTCAAAGCGCTTTGCTTTTTTCCCTCGATCATTTTGTGTCAATCTCAACTCCCTGAGGATCATAAAACTCGTGCAGCCACTAGGCGCACCAAGTTATTGCGGCTTTCCTATCCTAACGAGGTACCCATTCACAGCTGGGTGGACTGGGACACATAGTCACAGCACTTTGTCCAAGTTTACTGCACGTTGCTGTACCCCAACTAGGTGTTTGCACGTATTCATGTGGCCACCATCTGGTCATTTACCAACGGACTCGTGGGTTCTTTTAAGTGCACAGTGGTATGTTGACGAACATCTTGATCAGACCTTGTTACCCGCTAAAATCTAACCCGTTCTGCTCGTGTGTGAGTGAGTTTAGCTTTACGCCGCACTCAGCAATATTCCAGCTATATGGTGGCGGTCTGTAAATAATCGAATCTGGACCAGACAGTCCAGTGATCAACAGCATGAGCATCGATCTACGCAATTGGGATACGGTTGACATTTGTCAACCAAGTCAGCGAGCCTGACCACCCGATCCCGTTAGTCGCCTCTTAAAAGCATGGGTTGCTGAAGACCAACTCTAACCCGTACCTTCACGGGTACTACATGAACACGAATAGAACTATATCGAACAAAGGACACAGACGAAAACGCAGTACACGTAACTAATCAGTGTATTCGAACATATATCTGTGCACTGTCAGGTCCAATACATACCGATTTCTTGCTACCCTTACCTGGAACGAGGGTTACGGGTGTCCAAGTTGTGTGAGGCGCCGCAATACGCTGTGTAGAGTTGCGTCCCTTTGGGCATGCCAGAAACCTTTGGTTGTAGGTGGAATCCCAGTTCACACCAGTTATGTTTCTGAGTTTTGTCAAAACCTAGTCTGTCTCACATCCCCGAACCACATTATTTTCCCTAAATGAGGCAAGTCTAGATTTCACCAGATTCAGGCCTGAATCTCCCAACTCACTGGGGCTCCTTTTCATTTTAAATGGGTTTATTTGTTACTATCAAAATTATATATATATTCAGGGACTAAGCGTTAGTCTAGTCAAAACCATGGTCGTGCTCACCGAACTGTAAGGCATTAATCCGGCATTCAGCCCCATCAGGCTGACACATCGCGTACGCGTGTTATAACTGGAATATTGTTCCAAGCCGCCACTCACTTGAACCGAATATCTGTCACACATTGACGGCTAGACTAACGCTTAGTCTCTGAATACAATTTTGATTGTAACAAATAAACCCATTTAAATTGAAAAGGAGCCCCAGGGAGACCAGAGATTCAGACCTAAACCTGGAGAAATCTAGACTTGCTTCATTTAGGGCTTTAGCACTGCAGGGAGGGCTAGGTTGTAGGGAAAATAATATGGTTCAGGGATGTAAGACAGACTAATTGGCGGCAACTAACTACGCCTGACGATTACTCAATGCATCTGATGCATCACGATGCATCACACTAAAAATCTAAACTTGAAGATAACGATAAACCAAATGATTGTTTGATATTCGTTTGACATTACTCTACGGCATGGCTACGTATGTAGTACGGTGGGGGTCTCGAGTCAAGTTCATACGTATGTCTTATTCTCAGCGATTCGATTCGCAGAGCCCCGTCCCAAAGACGCATCAAAAACTCTGGCCCTGGCAACATACCCCTGCTCGTGTGTATCAGAAATATTACCCGTGAAGATCCGGGTTAGAACTGATCTTCAGTAACCCATGCTCGTCGTAAATTGTGACTGACGGGATCGGGTGGTCAGGCTCGCTGACACATGGCGTAGATCGATGCTCATGTTGATCACTTGATATAGCTGGAATTAGTTGGGAATTGGAAACTAAATCCACTATCGATTATCGGAGGATTGTGGTGAACGATTATCGATTATAATCGAAAAATATACATTTTTAATGTAATCACCAATTTTAACGGGTTTTCCCATTTTTCTTCTAATTAATGGGTTTTTTATAACTAATGCTGCCATGCAATGAAATGCTTGCATGCAAGAACGACAATGGAATTGTAATTAACAATAAAAGTGGTTAAAATTTTACAATATGCATAGCTTTTCGCTGTTGAGCGCATGTTTGTTCGTGAATATTCGTCAAATTTGATGGTTAGTTTACTTCATTCAAGGGTGTTATACAAAAACAACAAAATTCCGATTAATCGAAAATATGTTTTTAACAATCGATAATCATTTTTAATCCTTCTTTCGATCGATTTTCGATTATTTTCGATCATCGGAACACCACTAGCTGGAATATTGCTGAGTGGCGTAAAACTAAGCCCACTCACTCACTCAGTGATGTTACAAATCCCCAACATACCTCTCACATCAATCTGGCAAACCGTGATGTTGCCAACTACTGCTTATAAATAGCGGCGTAAAACTTATCGTTGATCCAAATTTCATTCACTCAAAATATGGAAACATTTACATGGCTCATTTAAAGAACAAAAATACGTAATGAAATAATGAGTAACCTTTCCAAAAATCCGTACAAGTGTAAAGTGAAAGATGACACGCACTTGTTTCCCCTGCGTAATGTCAAACCGAAGCGGAAGCGGCAAAAAGGCTGTCTGAATCACGTGACCATATAAATTACTATTTATAAGTGTCGCTGTTGATGAGGAGTGACATTGAGAAACAAACTGTCTTACTTTGAGACCAAACATGGCGGAGCGAATGCTGGTGGTCTAGTCTTCAACTGGCAGAGCTGAGGAAGGTCACGTACACTTAATCCTCATGCCAGTAAACTTTTCGGTTTACCTACTTGACTCGCAGGAACCAAAAATCACAATCATGAATTTAAACTTTTTAAAATATACTATATTTTTCCGATCGCTTTAATAGAGGCTTTTTCTGTTCATTTTGTCATTTCTTTTTATTTCATTTTTCAAAATAATTTTGTACAAAAAAATAAATGATGTTTATGCACTGACATTCGATAGATAATCTCTGGCAACTCCAAACAAAAATAACTTGATGATTTCATCAATATTCCAGCTCTAAGACGGCGGTCTGAAAATATTCGAAGCCTTGGCTAGACAATCCAGTGATTGACATCATGAGAATCGGACCAAAAGTAGTAACCATTCTTCCTTTCAAACGGATTTAGCAAGACTCATTTTCCCTCTAATCCATCGGATATCAAATCAAAATACTGAGCTTCACTAGCTTATTTTGTTTCACCTTTCTCAAGATACAGAGTACGAAATCATGAAACCATGAAGGTGTATCCAGACAAAAACTCTCGGATTAAAGAATGTATACAATTAAGAATTGGATATGGTCAAAATAAACATAAACACTCTGAAAATGTTACTGCTGATAAATAAAGTCGCCGAAACTCTGCCTACTTACGTCACCATCGAATAATAATTTTCTCTTTGTTTCATTTTAGTCACCATCTAACATACCTTCTTTTTTTATTTTTGCAATTAATTGTGAAAATGACAAGTAGATCTAATACTAAAAGTAGTTGTTGCCTATTGTTGGAATTTATAGCTGACCGCGGCGTGAAAAAAAGGTCATAGTGACCGCTCGTGTTTTCGTTGACGTCTGTACTTTTGATAATGACGTCATTCTATGACGTCACATAACTTCCGGTAGAATGAGTATACACATTCGGCATTATGCAAATCTTTCGCTTCGTGTGGAGTTTTGGCCCCTTAAGTGTTATCTATGTATTCCTTGTAGGTAGGTAATGAGATAGTGCTAGATATGTATGACTGTACATGTAACTAGGGTGCTTTACTGTATTTTAATTGTATCCAAACTATCTAGATCTACTGTTAGCGATTTTGGAAAAGATATTGATCTACCCAAAATGGCGACTTGGTCATTGTTTTGAATTCAGCTGAGGTTATGATATCGCCCTGCATGTTGAAACATATACAGAGCCTTTCGACAGTGTATATATTTCGTTGTGTGTATGAGTCGGCATTTAATATGTTGAACGTACAGTTTAAGCTTATTCCGAATTATTTTCAATCACGCATATCTCTCACCTGTTGTGGTCGATCATCCACAGTTATCTCGCTTCAGGTTTGTTCCCAAAACCTGTTTTCTTTGTCCAGTTCAAATGGTTTATAGCACTTCTTTCTGTTCCGAACCATCTGCCTTTTAGTCCCCGGAACGACTCCCTCGTGTACGGGAAGAGTTATCTCCCTTTAATTATCCTCATCAGAATGTTCTTTCACTGTAGTCATCCGTTACCTGCAGTCATTATTAAAAACTGTGGTTTCTACTAGGGAGATAGTCTGTCTCACTGTCCCTGAGCCACATTATTTCCCCTACTGCCAAGCCCTATCTAAATAAAGCAAGTCTACTCTAGATTTCCCCAGGTTCTGAATCTCTGGTCTCCTTGGGTCTCCTTTTCAATTTAAATGGGCTTGTTTGTTACTATCAAAATTATATATATTCAGACACTAAGCGTTAGTCTATTAGTGAGAGAGTGTGGTTTTAGACTATGTGTCATTCATCAGATACCATATGATAGAATGGTGTATAAACTACTGAATGATTGTAAATTTGTAATTCTTAAATTGATTTGATTATTTTTAGCTTTTGAGTTTTTCATATTCGTTGTCAAATGTTTATGAAAATTGTTTCAGTTGTCAAACGTGTTAGCACAGACTCTTCTCATGGTCTTAATGAAAACAAGCCTGAACTATCGCAAGTGGTGCACGATCTAGGTAAGCCGTCACGTTACCATGGGAAATCCTACAAAGAACTTCTTATCATATTTGGGATGGATAAAAATAAAAAGGGTGACCCAACACCGAAGGCGTCTCTCAAACAAGTGCACAATGGAGCGGATATCACAAAAGATCTTGCAGACAAAGATTATGATAGAGAGGATGGAAACAAGGTTAGGAGTCTTGGACAAGCTCAGCTGCCCAGAAAGTCACAGGAGGTCGTCAAGGCAAATTCGAACGAAATTGACGGTGTTAATGGCAAAAGACAGTTTCACGATGGACATGTTGACTTGGCGACTGGTCGGGAGTATACTGGTTTTTCTACAGTTAAAACTACAGACATGTTTGCTGGAAGCAGAAATGTTTCTCAGATTACGAAGGGAATGTCGTGGAAAGAAATTGAGAGACAGAAGTTTTCTCGCATGGTCAGAGGTGAGTACATGTATTTAAATGTTCTTTGTAGGTGAGTATATATAATGAGATATACTGTACAGGTGAATACGTGTATTGAAGTGTACTGTACAAGTGAGTACATGTATTAAAGTGTATTGTACAGGTGAGTACATGTATTGAAGTGTACTGTACTGTACAGGTGAGTACATGTATTAAAGGGAATTGTACAGGTGAGTACATGTATTGAAGTGTACTATACAGTGAGTACATCTATTGAAGTGTACTGTACAGGTGAGTACATGTATTGAAGTGTACTGTACAGTGAGTACATGTATTGAAGTGCACCGCACAGTGAGTACATGTATTGAAGTGTACTGTACAGGTGAGTACATGTATGGAAGTGCACCGTACAGTGAGTACATGTATTGAAGTGTACTGTACAGGTGAGTACATGTATTGAAGTGCACCGTACAGTGAGTACATGTATTGAAGTGTACTGTACAGGTGAGTACATGTATTGAAGTGCACCATACAGTGAGTACATGTATTAAACTAAAGTGTACTGTACAGTGAGTACATGTATTGAAGTGTACTGTACACTGAGAACATGTATTGAAGTGCACCATACAGTGAGTACATGTATTAAACTAAAGTGTACTGTACAGTGAGTACATGTATTGAAGTGCTCTGTACAGTGAGTACATGTATTGAAGTGCACCGTACAGTGAGTACATGTATTGAAGTGCTCTGTACAGTGAGTACATGTATTGAAGTGTACTGTACAGTGAGTACATGTATTGAAGTGTACTGTACAGGTGAGTACATGTATTGAAGTGTACACACTGTACTGTACAGTGAGAACATGTATTGAAGTGTACTGTACAGGTGAGTACATGTATTGAAGTGTACTGTACAGATGAGTACATGTATTGAAGTGCTTTGTACAGTGAGTACATGTATTGAAGTGCACCGTACAGTGAGTACATGTATGGAAGTGCACCATACAGTGAGTACATGTATTGAAGTGCACCATACAGTGAGTACATGTATTAAACTAAAGTGTACTGTACAGTGAGTACATGTATTGAAGTGTACTGTACAGGTGAGTACATGTATTGAAGTGCACCATACAGTGAGTACATGTATTAAACTAAAGTGTACTGTACAGTGAGTACATGTATTGAAGTGCTCTGTACACTGAGAACATGTATTGAAGTGCACCGTACAGTGAGTACATGTATTGAAGTGCTCTGTACAGTGAGTACATGTATTGAAGTGCTCTGTACAGTGAGTACATGTATTGAAGTGCACCGTACAGTGAGTACATGTATTGAAGTGCTCTGTACAGTGAGTACATGTATTGAAGTGCACTGTACAGGTGAGTATATGTATTGAAGTGCTCTGTACAGTGAGTACATGTATTGAAGTGCTCTGTACAGTGAGTAAATGTATTGAAGTGTACTGCACATGTGAGTATATGTATTGAAGTGCTCTGTACAGTGAGAACATGTATTGAAGTGATCTGTACAGTGAGTACATGTATTGAAGTGTACTGTACAGATGAGTACATGTATTGAAGTGCTCTGTAAAGTGAGAACATGTATTGAAGTGCACCATACAGTGAGTACATGTATTGAAGTGCACCGTACAGTGAGTACATGTATTGAAGTGCACCATACAGTGAGTACATGTATTGAAGTGTACTGTACATGTGAGTATATGTATTGAAGTGCTCTGTACAGTGAGAACATGTATTGAAGTGCTCTGTACAGTGAGTACATGTATTGAAGTGTACTGTACAGATGAGTACATGTATTGAAGTGCTCTGTACAGTGAGTACATGTATTGAAGTGCACCGTACAGTGAGTACATATATTGAAGTGCTCTGTACAGTGAGTACATGTATTGAAGTGCACTGTACAGTGAGAGTACATGTATTGAAGTGTACTGTACAGATGAGTACATGTATTGAAGTACATGAGTACATGTATTGAGGTGCACCGTAAAGTGAGTACATGTATTGAAGTGCACCATACAGTGAGTACATGTATTTAACTAAAGTGTACTGTACAGTGAGTACATGTATTGAAGTGCTCTGTACAGTCAGTACATGTATTAATTGAAGTGCTCTGTACACTGAGTACATGTATTGAAGTGCACCGTACAGTGAGTACATGTATTAATTGAAGTGCTCTGTACACTGAGTACATGTATTGAAGTGCACCGTACAGTGAGTACATGTATTGAAGTGCTCTGTACACTGAGTACATGTATTGAAGTGCTCTGTACAGTGAGAACATGTATTAAAGTGCTCTGTACAGTGAGTACATGTATTGAAGTGTACTGTACAGGTGAGTACATGTATTGAAGTGCTCTGTCCAGATGAGTACCTGTATTAATGTGTACTGTAAGTTTTGAAGTTTACAAGTGATTACATGTATTTTCTTTTGTCATTATACACGTTTTTTGAAATACCAAAGTGTCTGGGTGTGAAATCATGTGTAATAACTTAGTGACACTATGCAACATGAATAGAACCAATGACAGTTCTTCATCCTCAGGTTAAATCTAGGCATAGGGACATATATGAACATAATATTATTAAACCGTTTGTTACACAGTGTGATTAACAAAAAAGACCAAGAAATAAGAAATTTATATTACCAGATAAATCCATTTTTGTTGACACCTTAATGTGTTTCATTCTTTCTTGACCATGCAAAATTCCATGTTACCAGCGAACGTGTTAGCCTGATGTTTTATATGTAATAATTGGAGGTGTGTAACATTGTCAATACAGTTCAACCCCTTCAGAGCAATAACAATTACCTGTATTCAAACCACTGAACCATCCATCGTTACATGTTGCTGTTAGTTGGTTTCTGTGAACAATATATACCCTGAGTTCTCCGAACAGTACCGCAAATACACTAACAACTAGACTAATCCTCTCACAAATGTTTATGGGGTCCGAATTTTGTTGTTTGGGGTATATTTTTTATTCTTTGGGTTTGTATTTTAGTAGTAGTTGTTGTTGTAGTTGTTGTTGTATTTTAGTAGTAGTAGTTGTTGTTGTAGTTGTTGTATTTTAGTAGTAGTTGTTGTATTTTAGTAGTAGTTGTTGTAGTTGTATTTTAGTAGTAGTTGTATTTTAGTTGTAGTTGTTGTATTTTAGTAGTAGTAGTAGTTGTTGTATTTTAGTAGTAGTAGTAGTTATTGTATTTTAGTAGTAGTTGTTGTATTTTAGTAGTAGTTGTTGTATTTTAGTAGTAGTTGTTGTTGTAGTTGTATTTTAGTAGTAGTTGTATTTTAGTAGTAGTTGTTGTAGTTGTATTTAAGTAGTAGTTGTAGTTGTATTTTAGTAGTAGTAGTTGTTGTTGTTGTTGTTGTGAATCCACACTTACTCATCAGAAGAAGCGATTTAGGAATATGAAACATGTCTGATTGTACACGACTATGTCTAAACCGACCCCATACTGCCTGAGTACTGCTATTTCGTTTCAAAAGCGAACAGGCCTTACGGAAAACTATTTGAAGCGACGTAAAATCAGGTTTTAACTGCAGTGAGATGCTTGTTACAAGTTACATTGCACTTTTAATTTCCAGAGTCGCCGATGTTGCTTGGAGCAGGAGTTGGAGTATCAGGGAGTTTGATAGTCGCACTGATTGTGACCGCTATCTACTTGGTTCTCAAACGACGCAGGTAATTAAGAATAAGACAAGTTGTGCGGTGTGAGTTTGACATTATTTGTCAAGTTTTTGTGATTGTGAGAGGTGAGGTGAAGTGAGGTGAAATTGGGCTTAACGTCGCGCTGGAGAATATTTCGCTCATATGACGACGTGCATGCGTGTGTATGTGTAGGATTGTGAGAGGAAGGTAATCACGAATAAAGAGACGTTCAGCACGAGTATTGTGTGGACACAATACTGTGGACAGGAGATGCGTCATAGTCATTACATTTCCCAATGGAGGTTCGTTCTGATCACAAAATGTTGGTTTTGTGTTATCTCGAATTTACAGCTGATCAGTAATCTATCCAAGGCCTAAACGCCGACTAAATGAGGACTGGATGATTATGATGTGTCTTGGCTGATTGTATGACATCGTACCTAGTTAATATGGGTTGCCATCTAGTGAACCCCAAGTTTTATTGGCACTGACAAAACACATATAGCTGTAACATTGCTGGTTGCGGCGTAAAACAATACTCAGTCACTAAAATCGAATTGTCCAATGAAATATGAGTATATTGTAGACTGTTGTGAATTTCAAGGAGAACAGAACGGATCATCTCAGTTCGTTATATATCCTCGAGCAGTCTTGTTACCTGAGATGACATGTCGATAAATTTGGCACTGGCGTTAGGTAACTGAACAGAGACGATTGAATAATACAATGACGCGAGGTGTTTGTTATAAGAGTATAGATGTTAGCTACCATAACAACTTGTAAACGTTGGCACCAGTTGTGAAATGTTGCACTGGAGAAGATTATTAAGGGACCTTCTGCCTTCACGGTGTCTTTCCAAAAGTTAGACGTCCTAAAAGTTAGACGCGTTAAAACAACAAAGGTTATGGCTGGTTGCACTGAGGTTCACTACACTGTTACCTTCGTTAATTAATGGACTGGTCCAAATGTTCTAATCCAAACACAAAGAGAAGAGATTATGGATAATGACAATGACTTTATTTTATATTGTTTATGTTGGAAAAACAATGTTAGGAAGGAAGTAACTCCATTAGATTGTGTAAACACACTGTGCACGAAGGCAAGGTCACTAAGGGAAGGTCAAGGTAACCCACTAGAGGTTGTGAATGAAATAGCTCATGAGGTCGCGCACGTGCTAATTGATTCTGCACGAAAAACATTTGGCGATATTCCTTATAAGGCTAATACCACTACTCGTAGTAAAACGAATGCTTTCTATAAGCCATGGTTTGGATCAGATTGTAAGAAGAAACGCAAGTCATTTTTCAAAGCAAAATATGTCTATTATAAGAACAAAACCGATCATAATAAAACTCTTTTCCGTAAAGCAAGTAAAGAGTATAAGAAAACAATGAATAAGTATATAAAGAAAGAAAATAATTTTATTAGAAAACAGTTACGCGAAACTCAGCATTTATCTCCAAAACACTATTGGAGATTATTGAAAGGAAAACAGAAAGAAGACAGTTGCCCTATCTCATTAGATGAATTCTATGATTATTTTAAAATGTTAACGAAAGTACCATTAACGATGATGTGGACAGGGATGGAATGTCAGACCCCCCAAATTATGATGTTAGTGTACTCAATGATGAAATAACCTCAAATGAAATCGTCGTTGCCCTTCAAAAACTGAAGAAAAACAAGACGCCTGGCTTAGACTTAATTTCAAATGAGCACTTATCTTCAGCCTTACCAAAACTGCTACCATTTTATGTTGAATATTTTAACGCTGTACTTCAGACTGGAATTTTGCCCGAAGCATGGCTTACTGGTACTATCAAACCTATCTATAAGAAAACTGGTAATCGTACGGACCCGGCTTCATATAGACCAATCTCTATCTTAAGCTGCTTTGGTAAACTTTTTACTAGCATCCTAAACGAGAGATTAAATAAATTTTGTGATGATAACGATATAATATCGCATGTCCAATCCGGTTTCCGAAAAGGCTTCTCCACAACAGATAATGTGTTTATTATTCATAATTTGTTAAATCATTTGAAGAAATGTAAAAAGAAACTCTTTTGTGCCTTTATTGATTTTTCTAAAGCATTTGATAAGGTTTGGAGAACTGGACTGTGGACCAAATTAAGACAAACTGGTATCAAGGGTAAAATACTGACTTTAATACAAAATATGTATAATGATATAAAATCTTGCGTTATGGTAGAATCTGCAAGATCAGATTTCTTTTATTGTCTTTCAGGAGTTAGACAAGGAGAAAACTTGTCCCCTCTTTTATTTTCTTTATTTCTAAATGACTTAGAATCCCATTTAGAAGAACAAGCATGTGTCGGTATTGAATTAAAACAAATAATGATGAGTTTATTATTTATCTAAAATTGCTAGTTCTACTTTACGCTGACGATACAGTCCTCTTAGCTGAAACTCATGATGATTTACAACATACACTGAATAAATTCGCTGTATATTGCGACATATGGAAACTTAAAGTAAATATTAGTAAAACTAATATTATTGTTTTTGGTTCCGGACCTGCAGCTAGTTATAAGAAATCGTTTACACTATATGATGATAGAATAGAAGTTGTAGACACTTATAAATATCTGGGAACTCTACTACACAGAAATGGTTGTATGAATTTTGCTGTTAAACACATAGCCGATCTTGGTATGAAGGCATCAATAGCGTTACTAAAACGTGCCAGAAATGTTAAGTTACCACTGGACCTGCTCCTTTCTGCATTTGATAGATTAGTATTACCAATATTGATGTATGGATGTGAAATATGGGGACATGAGAAGACTGACATGATAGAAAGAGTACATCTAAAATTTCTTAAATTAGCAATTGGTTTAAAATATAACACCCCTAATTTCATGGTGTACGGGGGAGCTTGGTAGGGAACCTATTCAGCTTCAAATTTCGAAACGACTAATCTCGTACTGGTGTAAATTGACATTATCACATCCAAATAACAAAATAGCAACTTTCATTCTTCAATATATTACTAAACAAAACAAAACATCGAATAACTATGTCTGGCTAAGTCATATTAAACATATTCTCTGTAGGTGCGGATTGCCTGACGTTTTTGACAACCCTCATCTATACTCAAATTCATGGATCATTTCAAATGTTGAATCTATCTTAAAGGACCAATTTTACAATCATGGACGAGCGATATGCAAAACTCCTCTAAAGGAATATACTATAAAGTTCTGAAGCGCTCTCCAAACTTCGAACAATACCTACTTCTCTCAGATGCTATTTCTAAACCGATCCTAAAATTTAGAACATGCAACCATAAACTCCCCATAGAAACAGAGAGATGGCAAAATATACCAAAAGAACACAGAGTTTGTAACTTATGTGACTCACATTTGATCGGAGATGAGTTCCACTATTTGTTTAAATGTAATTATTTTGCAGACATACGTAAATCGTTGTTAAAAGAACCTTATAGTTCCTGGCCAAATTTATCGAAATTCCGTCAACTGTTTTCAAGTAAAATTTCTACCCTTAAAAATGTATCCAAGTTCATCAAGATTGTTTGCAAACACTTTAATTGATGCATCATTTAGTCATCTTGTTGTACATATTGTATGTAACATACCTCTTTGTTATACTCATGTACCACCGATGGTGGATTATTTTGAGTAATAAACGTGTGATGATGATGATGTTAATGTAAACTCAAAAACATAAAAAACATATAATCCTGTTTTGATCAAGGTGAACATCGTAAAAAACAAGCATGCAAAATCTCTGATCCTAGTAAGAATATTTTTGTGTTTCTTATTTGCTAACATATTTATTTTCTGGCTCTAAAATGCTTTTAAATTGTCTGTACAGCTTATACCTTAAACTTTCTTCAATTATACTATTACATGACTGTATATGCATGTCAACTGCAACTTGTTTAACCATTTGAAGAAACTGGGATTCATTACCAACACCTTGAAAAAAAAAAACATAACCAACTCCATATGAAAACAATAAATTACGCACAGATGAAACATAGTTATCATAACCACAATTATCGTAATACATTAGCATATCATGAGATTCTTTTTGGAATTCTTTGTTGATGCATATTTACAAGTTTAAGCCAGTATTTTATGAAACGCCGTTGTGCATTTATATACATTGGGTAACGTCCACATTCACCATAAACAATTACATTTGGTGTTTGGGGACCAACATTTAAGGACTTGTTACATGCAGATAAATGTACATTTTCAATCTTATAAAATTTATTGATACCCCATACTTCGGCGCCATACAAAAGGATTGGTTGAATTTGGGTATCAAATATTTTGAAAAATACAGAATAGTCAACATTATCTAATTTATATAAGTGGTGTAGTACTTCTAGAAGTGCCCTTTTACCCTGAGATGATAAATCTAATATACATTTATTGAAATAACTTACAAGAAAATGAAAAAGGAATACCTAGATATCTATATGAATCAACTGTTAAAGACACGTTCACCTTTATAAAACCATTTCTCGCTAAGGGTATACCTCTTCTAAAAACAACAATTTGAGTTTTCTCTAGATTAACTGTCAACATTAGTATTCTGATCAAAGTATTTCTGTACAAATATGAAAACCATCTCGTTAGTGTATGGGACAGGTTCATTATATCAGTGGGTAAGACTAGGTTGTAATCACAGTCACGCCTGATTGATTTGTCTGACAATTGGGATGTATGACTTTTGGGACGTCTAACTTTTGGGAGTAAACCATACTCAGTCCAGGGTAGGGGGAGGTACGAGGTTTTGGTGTGATTTTCAACATAATGATTTATTAATTTTTGCCTGGCGCAAATTCTTACCCTGACTATGTCAAAACAGGTTTATTTTATGAGTGAGCCCTTTCCCATATAGCTGTGCAACCCGTTGTTTTCCTAAAAGCCCTTTGTCTCTCATTTTCGAAAAAGATTTGCGTCCCCTTCTTTCCAGATAGCTGTGTGTACCCATTTTCCAGATAGCTCAATGTCCCTGTTTTTTTCCCAAATATCTGTCAGGGCTCGATTTAAGAGATGTCAACCTACTTGCACCAGGTGCAACCTAAGATAAAAACCTAGTTGCACCAGCCAAATTCCAGTTGCACTGCTTTAATTGCAATATGTAATGTAAGAAATATGGTATTGAATTATGTAGATGTTTTATTGAGAGTTTACCCACTCAAAACTTGAGTTGCACCAGGTGCAAGTTCAGCTAATAGCTAGATTGCACTTTGTAATATTGGGTTGCACCAAATACTAAATCGAGCCCTGTCTGTGCGTTCCCCTTTGCCAGATTGCTGTGCGTTCATCTTTTACAAATACTTGTGTGTCCTTAAGCTTACAGTTTGTCGATCATTTGTGAATCTGTATGCCAGTGCAGATTCCGGAATGGTTTTAAATTAATCAGGATCCCCATCCACAAATGTTACGAGCTATCGTAACTGTAGTTTGACATAGACTTACGAATGACGTAGAGATACGACCGCTTTGTAGCACCTTGAATGTTTTCTGTTGAAGGACTCGATGTACGAAGCTACAGGAAGTGAGTTTTGGTACACCCAAAGAGGAGAAACCTATATACATCAAACTATCACAACTACATCGACCTAAACGTAGCCCCAACTATGTCGTCACAGTGTAAGTAATTGACCGTTCTTCCATGATCCGGACCCGTGAAGGTCCGGGTTAGAATATTGGCCTTCAGTTACCCATGCTTGTCGTAAGAGGCGACTAACGGGATCGGTAGGTCAAGCTCGCTGGCTTGGTTGACACATGTCATCGGTTCCCAATTGCGCAGATCGATGCTCATGCTGTTGACCACTGGATTGCTGGTCCAGACTCGATTATTTACAGACTCGATTTATTCTCAGAATATTGCTGAGTGCGGCGTAAAACTAAACTCACTCACTCTCCCATGATCCGGGATTTGAATAGGTATTCAGCCAATTATGCTGGTCGTGAAAGGCCGCTAAATGGATCGGGTTCAGGTTCTGTTACTTTGTTAATTGGGGACAGAGAGGTAGCCTTGTGGTTAAAGCGTTCGCTCGTCTGGGTTCGATTCTCCACATGGGCACAATGTGTGAAGCCCATTTCTGGTGCCCCCGCCGTGATATTGCTGGAATATTGCTAAAAGCGGCGTAAAATCAAACTCACTCAGTCAGTACTTTGTTAATTGCTTGTCATCGTTATCCGACGGCATGGAACGTTGCGTACGATCGTACATACACATGTATATGGATTTAGTATTTACACGAGTGAGAGAACGTTGTTTTACGCCGCAGTCAGCAATGATGAAGGCCTGTGAATTATGTGCTTGACAGCGTGACAAACGACGTGTACGTGACATATGATGAGAAGGGCACAGATACATGTTGTTTCATTCCCTACTCAACTATGATCATATGACAGCTGACTGTTTCTGCCTGAACCATGACACACAAGATAAATTATATCATTCGTCTCTTACAAACCGAAACATGAGTCTCATTAACCTATTCAGACAATGACCTACTTCTCAGCGGATCCGAATTTACTCGTGTGAAATTGAAAATAGACATCACAAACAACTATGGTTACACTGAATTCCAATTCCTTGTTTCAAAAGAAAATGGCATTTACAAATGAAGTTTAATTCTAAACTTTAATTACATCGTATTTCTATATTTTATTGCGAGGTTTAGGCAGCATGACCTTAACTAAGACGTCACAGACTGTCCCTGTTTGATGAGGTCATAAAATGATTCACAATGCATCTGGCTCACTGGTTACACCTGTTATGTGTTTTTTTGCGTTTATTCAGTGTAGTTCTGTAACGCACAATGTGATTGATATAATATCAAGTCCGTACCAGACCGCCCAACTTTTCTAGCGGCCCAGCCTCGTTTTGAGATTTCCACGATTTCCAGGGCTCCGTTTGTCAGAGCTCGCTGTACGACAGAGCACGCTGCACGACGTGTTTGCAAGGATTAGAAGGAGCGTAGTGTTGCAATACAAAGGTGCTTAGATGTATCCAATAATAATCATTAATAATTATGTATCCAGTTAAATGAATTGGTCTCATAATTCTGGACTGGTTATTGTACTAAGTTGCGCAACAGGACGGGACCCAGTTAACAGGAAACGAGACTGTTGTGTAATCAATGTTTTGACTTGGTCAGTGGGGCTGCCCCCGGAATCCCCACGACGTGGTGTTTTGGCAAATCATGATAAAAAACGATCAACTGTAACAGCGAAAGATTTTCATGATGACATCGACATTGTGATGAGGTATGGTGTAACACATTTTCTAATATACTTCATGCTGAGAAAATGAGCTGAAACTGAAGTTTTATATTCTCACCTTTTCGTGGTTTCAGATTGGATGAGTCCAACTTCTCTGTCGACAGTGACGTCAGTTCCGAGGAAGAACTGTTTGATCTGTCAGCTGTCGCGGGTGGGAGTCCATGCAAGAAAAACAAGTGGGTGTTTCTCCTATTGTGTAGACTAAAGTTTATTCTTTGAATATATATAATTTTGATAATCTAGACTTGCTTCATTTAGGGCTTTAGTTTGTGGGGAGGGCTAGGCAGTAGAGAAAATAATCTGGTTCAGGGACTGTGAGACAGACTACTTGTGGTGCATTTAGATTTGGAATCCGAACATACACTACTCACATACACAAAAATTCACAACTTTACTTAAACGTAGATTTATAATTTGAAATTGTATCCATTTAAAACTGGATAGATAATAATATGGTAACCCCTCATTAGGCAAACAGTCACTTTAATCTAACCTTATGCACCTGATACATGAGTAACCATAAAAATGGTTTTCATGGCACCAATCAACCATTTTGCAAATCATGGAACGAGTCAGTGACAAGTACACAACACCTGTCAAAAGCAGGTATGGGTTCCATAAGATGAAATGACATACTGAAGCCTAGGATCCATGCTTCCAATAAACTTAGATATTTAAACCAAATTTGACCCCACATCATAGTTTTCTTTTGAATCCATAATTTGATCCTTAGCAAAGTGTGAATACTATATTTAGCACCAGTGTGGATGAATGGAACTTCAAATTTGAAAACTTTGTAAAACGGGCATTTGAGATAAACACGGTTATATCCCATGATAATTTTGTTTGGGCACGAAAATATTCTTGTTTCTCATAACCGCCCGACCCAAAAACATCGATCCTACCCTAAGTGAGTGAGTATGGTTTTACGCCGCTTTTTAGCAATATCATGGCGGGGGACACCAAAAATGGGCTTCACGCATTGTACCCATGTGGGGAATCGGACACGGGTTTTCGGCATGACGAGCGAACGCTCTAACCACTTGGATACCATACCGCCCCGACCCTAACTTTTTTATATTTTCTACACTAGAAAAAATGCAACTTTGACTCTCAAAATGTGCATAAATTTTCACACTTCTAAGTTTTGGACATTAAATAAAATGTACAAATAAAATCCGCCCGCACGACCCATATTTTTTGGAAAAAGTGATGAGAAACAAGAATATTTGTTTATGTGGCCTAAACTGCCGGGCAATGGAAAGTGTACAGCCATATTTGATGGTGGCTAAAAATGACACAGAAAGGGTTATTCAATGGTGGTATGGGTACCATAGCTGTATTTGATGCAGGTACCAAAGCTCTGGCCAGTTTGAAAGTTATTTTAGCAAATGATGTCAGTCTAGTAACGCTTTGATAACACTTGTAATAATTTAGTTTCTTTTGCCAGGCAAACTATATAAGCCTTAATATGCAAGATACCTTAAATTAGGCGATTAAGTTACGTGGGTTACGTCACGGTAGGATGTCGTAAATATTCCTTCAAAAAGGTTTATGATAATCTCGTAACCGAAATACTCGAGTTGGATTTATGTCATATGGTGCTAGATAGCCCTTTTCATGTTCGTGTCGACCAATCTAGCAGGGAGATACAGGTGCAGAATTAGTCCCCACTAGCTTACGTTTATCGTAACGCTGACTATAACTCATCTGTCAGTGTCACCATGACATCAGCCTTTAGTTTGCCTCCCCAAGTTTTGATCGGTGGCCGCGATATAGCTGAATATTGTTGACTGCAGGGTTTACCAGATTACGTTCAATATTTTCTCACAATCGTATCTCATCTTTACAGTTTGAATACGTTCAACATGACGTCAACGCCGAAGAAAGACAACCGCTTCACGTGATGACGAATGTTCCGGTGGCGCTGATGCATATGAGATTTTTTCAGATAACAGGAACAGTTAGCCCATTGTTAATAGGATGATCACAGTGTATAAAGTTTTAAAGACAGAACGGAGATACGGACTGAACCAGTTAGTGCTTAATGAGAGTAGCATCATCGGTTACGGCTTTTCTGGGAAGACATTTTCCACCCGGGCCCTCTCTGCAACGTCCATGTTATACGTGTTTGCCCACTCTATATACAGCTACGTTCGTCCACCTGTGAACAAACCACCTGTTGATGTTCATGGGTAACGGGGGAGATAGTGCGCACATTGATGGTGGCGGTACACGCAGACCCGTATCCCTTTACTTTAAAGTCATGAAAAGAGATTAAGAGTGAATTGGTTCAGTTATTTTAACAAAAGAGAACATGTTATCGTGATGCGATCATTTACTCAAAATGCCCGCTGCCCAGTCTACTTGCTAAACAACCACGATTAACGGTACCTTCCCATTAAGACTACTCCCAGTTTGACTACTCATGAACATAAACATATAATGGAGCACCCCTACACTTAATAATGTACTCTACCTGTATAGGGGATTACTCCCAGGTTGTCTTCTCTTTGAAATAAGGGAGACTCCCAGGACCTACCTATAATGATTAGAAGCCAAGTGAATCGGGGATCTTGTGATCATTCATTGTTTGTTTTGATATTTGGAGATAACTCCTCTACTCGGATTAAAACTTTGTAAACTTATAGTACAGGTTGTTTGTGTTGAAAATTGGACATAATCACTCCAACTTCCATTCAAACTATTAACTGTAGAACGCAAAGATATTCTCAATCATTTTACCGGTCATTATAACGAAGACGTTATTCACTACCTTTTTACATGTCGGAACTATCAAAATTTAAGAACTGTGTATTTGTATATTCAACGATACGAAGTAAAAACTACTTTATACGGTAACGGCGCATTGAATAACTCAACAAATAGTAGCATTCTCAACTCATTACACCAGTTCATTTCTAAAAGTAACCGCTTCCAATGATTATCATCTCTACATATATATACTCAATGTAAGACAAGTTTTATATAACTTGATTCTCTGCGGCAGCTCATTTCGTTGCTAGACATAACCAACATATTTATTATTTATCTGTTATTATTATCTCAGTATTATTCTTTTGTTGTCAAATTGTTCCAATTATATATCCTGCTATTGGAACAATGTGCCGGAGCGGCGTTTATATAAGCCACTGGGCTTGTTCGCCTATCCAGGCTTCTGCTTTAACGGAATAAAAATGTGTTTAAACCATATTAAAGTACCAGAGTTTAATTGAGCTGTCAACGGCGGACCTATCACAGTGTTTACAAAGTCCGTGTTGCTTGTGCTGCCCATAGTTCCAAATATTATACAGCACAATAACTATGTAGTGCATATGATATATAGTGTAACTCAGTATAATATTATGAGTATACTTGAACTCTTCCACAACAATGACCTATATAATTAGTTGAATAAATATTGTATGAAACTGGTACAAATATAATCGCTGGTGGAACAGTCTACCTGGGGGGGGGGAGAGAGCTTGTAATTAAAAAACAATCGACTGGAACAGGTTGTGTATTGGGTAGTCAAACTGGGAGTAGATCTAGTCATAATGGTAATAAACCCGATTAACCAGTGTATATATCCTGGATCAGTAGCCTCGTTTGGAGTCCAATTCAAATAGCACAACGCCAAATATAGCTGTCCAATATATTTACTCTCGCCAGCGAGAGACGTCCTGTGATGTGTTGGAGCTGATGTCGTCACTTCTGACACGTTGTTGTGGTGGGGAATGGGTCCAGTGTAATAGCAAAATAGAAACGAGGTCTAAGATGCTTTGTAATTTCAGGATATCTCGTCTCCGGTTTTGATCATAAAAGTGTGTTAAGTTTATTGATAAGTGAGAATAATCTTGACTGAGTTGAGTCACTTCGAATATGAAGCATATAGTATTGTAAATAGGATCGACTTGGGTAGCCTAGTAGTTAAAGCGTTCTCTCGTCACGCCGAAGACCCGGGTTCGATTCCCCACATGAGTACAATGTGAGAAGCGCATTTCTGGTGTCCCCGCCGTGATATTGCTGGATTATTGGTAATACAGCGGTAATACTAAACTCACTCACGCCGTGACGGCGGCGTACAGCTGTGGTATTTATACATACAAAAGTACAGGCCTTCTTTGTGTTAAGATGTTCTATAGTACAGGCGTTTGAACTTCAAGATAAATAGAATAAGGCTGATCTGCGGGGAAATAATTACATCACGGCATGGCATATTATGGTGTTGGGGGTGGTGAATGGCATGACTGAGATACCATGCCGCAGTTTAACATGGATACTCATAGAAAGCACCGACCGACCCATCCTTCACCCCCGAACGCCAGGCAAGGTAACAGAGAGTGTTAAGTTCTTTTTACATGGCTACTTCAGCTCTCAAGACAAAAAGGCAATATCCACTTGACCGCTGGGGTGTTAAGTGTGGAAGGCACATGATACCTCCTTTGTCAAACACACGAGCATAGGTATGGTGACAACAAACTCAGGAGAGAGATTCGAACCCAGGATAATAAATTTCCGTTACAAGAAAGGGATGCAACCAGCTTTATATATTTCAAAGAGATGTGTACATAATCTAGCACAAACCAAGTGCATGATATATGCAGCAAATGAAAGACTTTATTTCCAAGTAAAATACCAAGTAAAGAATGTTTTCAATATAAAATCAGAATTAGAGATGACTTTAGGAATGTAATGAAACTTATATAGGAATGTTTATTTACCAATATCTTTTTGATTTAAGAACTTTGTAGAAAGCAATTCAGTTAAAGTTCTCTAAAACAAGAATGTTTTACTCTTTTTAACATCACAGAGTGGGTAAAAAATCTTAGATTACAAGTATATAATCGTATTACAAATAAATATGTAATAATTATTTTATGAATTACTGAAACTATTACCATCTATTTCAACATGAAAATCGATAATAAATAAGGAAAATTTAGCAAAAATTAAATAATGAGCCATAAAAGACAGAGGCAGAAAGCCAAGATGAATGAATGATTAAATAAATAGTACCTTAAGACCTTTAGGATATCACTGTTAAGGAAAATCGAAGATTCTGTTACGTATTCATCAAAGCAAAGAATACTTTGTATCAAACTAGTATTCAAACAAAAACATAACAAGGAATACGTAACTCGAAAATCAAAACTGTCAACTTTCCGCATCGATTCCTCTGACATTGAGCCACCCGATCCACTGTCCTTTCAAATATCAACTCGCTTGGTTTGCAAAAGACAAAACCAACGTAAACTCCATTCGTGTCAATATAAACCGTTCTCCCAGTTCTAAAAACCAAAACAAACTTTAACGTTAGTTTTGCCGAAGACAACGCCATGTCCTTTCAAAGTTCCACAAAATTGAATTAGTTAAGTTTCCAATCGAAAATCTCAAGCCTCGTCCCTAGTATCTCTGGGGTACAACCAAATTTTTCAGTTCTCAGTAACACACGAAACAGGATTTAACTTCATTCCTGTAAACAACATCAAGTCCAGGTTGGCAATATTTGCACAGCCTCCACACAAACTGTAATTAAAACAATATGTCCACGTGTCGTTCGGTGCACGTGAATCTATCAGACACCTGTTCTATTGTCACATATGGCACACATTTGACGTCACACAATTATTACGTCACAACCTCCACTTTGTCCTGAATCGTCATCTCAACATAAGTATCTTGCATCAAGGCATATACTACATACCTTCCATGTGATCCGACACAAAAGTTCGTTTGAACTCAAAATAGAACTATTCAACCAGGGCCTTATCGGCTGTACTCCGTTCTCGAGCGACCTGTGCGACCATCTGTCATTAATAAAACATATCACAGCCTTGGACGTCACTATTCTAAATGTTCTCATTTCCAGAAACACCAGAAAAGCGTTCTTGATCCTCGTATTTTCTGTTCCCGACCATCCTGGCCGAGTAGGCGACCGGAAGTACAGCATTTGGGTTCACGTAGTCCGAAAGAGTGTTTGCATTGTAGTTTGCGGTCGAGGTTGGTTGGCCGTAGTACTGGTAAAAGGCATTCTCCACATACATTCCGTAGGCATCTCGCTCCAGATTCGACATCCTGGCTGCTGCGGTGCCCACGGGGGTGGAGATGGGGTAGTTGTCGGGAGAAAGGAAGGTGTTGGGGTACATACGGTTAGCGTTATTATCCAGGTCGCCGTAAATGTGAGACTGTATGTGCACCCCTTGTAGATGCAGTGGAGAGCTCGTGTCGCGGTTCGGATCTGGAAGGATGAATCAAACGATTCAATATGGCCATCGTCAAGAATACCAGGCACAGATACTGATATTAAGTGCGTACTATTGATGTAACAAACATATTTACATTATCTAACTTGCAATACAATACTCTTTCTGAATGGTTACTTTGTGGGATATTGTTACCCATATGTACCACTGACATGGAAGATACAAATTACCAACGCGCGTACAATGGTATGAAAATGAACACCTAATGACTTAAATTTAGCGAATTCAACAGCGCGCATTCAGTTATACTGCAACGGTTTGCTATTCATAATATGTACATACCGCATACAACCTTTCTAAACTAAAATTATACCTTGTACACATTCTGCTTGATCTGCAACTGTCAGTGTTTAAACAGTATGGTTTACAGACGAATTCTCTTTTCTGTTGGATCTAATTGATTTCAACATATCAAAGCAATATGTATACAGCTCTGTACCTATTTGTTGAAGTATTTACAGTGAAAAGCCAATCACCCGGAAAAAGGATACATTTATTGAACTGTTACCGTTGGCATCTGCCCTTCCATCCATGTCTGACTGCATGTAGATGAGCCCCTGGCCAGACTGGGTGGTTGTGGGGGAGGTGATGGGGAGGGGGGAGATGTGCATTCGCTTATTTCCAGGCTTTATATCTTTGAAACTGTCCGTTGATTCTGCAAAGATAACAGAAACATAATATCAATTGACCTTGCCTGGCAATGGTGAGGGAGATGGTTAACAACTTAACATGGCTTTCAACAGTACTTCACTTATATTATGGTGTATCGGCATGTTTGCTGTTTAACGCGACAACCAGCAATACCACAACTATATAACGATTGGTTGTTAATAATAGACACTTGATTAGACGGTCTAGTGACATGAGCATACATCTACGCAACTCGATGGCATGCATCAACAAGTCGGCGAGTCTGATCACCCGATCCCGTAAGTGGGTTCCGGAAGATCATCTCAAACAAAATCTTCTGTCAGCATGACATGTCAGGTGAGCCTGAGGTGGCGAATGTGGGAGACATTTACTAATCGAGTAAAATAAAGGACAAAGGGGAAATAAAACGAACAAACAAGGGGGTATCTTGGATGTAGAAACACAGTGATTCACAATGGATCATAGTCAGTTTCGTAAGAACAAGAGGCCCGTCTGACCTTTTTAAACAATTGAGTACATGTATATAATTTACCAAAACACGACATGGAGTAAGTGTGTTAAGGTTTTATAGTGACAGATAAGGCTAACTGCAATAGCTAGATATTCACTAATAAAATATGTGATCACCATTTATGGGGACAATACACGTTCTCCGTGCAAGAAAGAATCCGCGTTGACACTTCGTTTGTCAACAATCCTTAGCTCCGAGCGTCGAACTCCGATACCTTTCAGCCTTATTGCTCACCGCTAGCTGTACGCTGTATGGGTGTCATGTCCGGTATATAATAACTGACCAAATATATTGCTGTATTCCACGTTTGGAATGGAGAAATGACCACAGACAAAAGTGACACAATGGGATGACTGCTGTCCATGGTTCCACTAGGTCTATCGAAATATGTAGTCGCCATTCGAAAATAACGGAAATGGTACATTCGTCACCGTTCGTCTCTTTCCGTAACCTGATCGCTATTCGACTTGGACTGGAAAACCACGAGTTGATCACAATTGGAAAATGGTATTCATGATACCATTTCTTGAACCAGATTCATTTTGTGCCGGAGAGCCTCGCGTCGGCGTAGTATTGAACGAAGGTATGATGACATGTTTTATCAGATTCTGTATTTGCACCACAATCGCACCCATCATACAACTTCGCTGTGTCTGTATCCGTTTCTCAGTCACTGTGGGGAGTATTCATAGATAGCGCGTTTGCGATGAAAGTTCGGCAGTATCTCTCAACGCACCTCGACTTGTTGCTTGCTACTCCCGAAGTATAATGGACAGAAGACTGTGGTTATGTTGGGCTGTGCACGTGCCCTTATGCTGTTACTATATCCGTCAGTGTAAAGGACAGGCACACGAGCAGTTAACCTTCTTGTCATCGAATGAGCGGGTTGTGCAGATCAGCGCACTCTGGTGTCAGATCGTGATGTTGCTACATGTTTTTATGGTACATCAATACTTTCACGAAGAGTTACCTCTCTTGCCTCCTGCCATCGTCATCTGCGCCTGCGAACCCCTAGTGGGAGTGGACATTGGGCTGTGACTATGTGGTATGCCCATGTCAAACATGCTCGAACCAGAGGCCATATTGTTACTTTCACTTCGACCACTGCAAACACAAACATGTAAAGTCTGGAATAAAGCAACGAATATTACATGACTTCGTTCACACAAAACAAATATATTAATTTTCAATTCTCTTGCCTGCCTATGTATCGTTTTTCTACAAATACTAAAATGGTGACATTCTTTAAAGTGTTTTATTTGTTTATTTTTCCATATTATCACTTAGCACGTGTTCACAAGCTTCGGTATGAAAACAGTAAAGCGTGGTCATATTTCCCCCCTGAAGTTAAACAGAGGCGGGTTGGAACAGTATTCAGTTTTTGTTGGACAAGCTCAGATACAGCATTATTGAAAGGGGTGGGGTGCAGAGTAGTTTGTACAGGGGCGTCGGCGTTCCAGATTACCCGGATATGTTGTAACACTTACAATATTGATACAAATACTGTCAGAAATTCATTGTTTTATGCACATGGAAAAATACTACGGACAAAAGTTGTAAAACAATTGAAACAACTACATTTCCATAATGTTTAAATATACAAACACAACATAATCAAGGTCAATAAGTGATTTCAATTCGCGGCTGGATTCAGGCGTGAGTCCGGTGTGACAGTCTGTCTCACAGTCCCTGAACCTCATCCTTTTCCCTCTGCCTAACCCTCCCAGCAATACTAAAGCCCTCAATAAATAAACATACACGCACGCACACAGAGCGTTAGTCTACATGTGGATGAGAAGCGTCATATAACGTATAACATATACAGTTCACAAAACTGCCCCTTGCGGCATGGACAACACGTACCTGGCGTCCATGGTTGAAGATACTCGAGTGGTGGATGGAGATTCTGGGGGGTCCGGCTCTCTCCTACCTGACCGTCTCGTCGAACCCCGTCCTCCATCGGTTTTTATCTTGGGCAGTACAGCACCCTTACTCATGAGCGTTATGACCTGAAACCATAAGCATGGACAATCCCAGGTGAAAGGAGTTTTTGTATAGGCACCAGTCACTAACATTCCAGCCATATGACGGCGTGTTGTAAATAAGCGATTCTCCACAATCAGGTGGTTGATAGAACAATACAGTGACGAGAAAAAACAAAACAACCCTCATGACATGCCCCAGTGAGCCCCTTTTTCAATAAGCAGCCATATTAGGACGGGGGACACAAGAAATTAATTGGCTTCACACATTGTGTCCACGTGGGGAATCGAACCAACATGCTTTTGTATCCCTTTCAAAATTTTGTCCCGTTACTTTACTTGTAATGTTGCTGTAATTACCTTGCAGTAACTTCAACGAACTAATTTGTAAACCTAGTTTGAAAAACAACTAAATGGTAATTGTATAACATTTCTTTCTTGTTTGTTGTTTTTTTTAACTGAATTCTCTTACTACAGATTTTCATGTCAACTAAATGTATCAGCTTGGATACACTGTTTTCTAGTTCATGACAATAGTTTGTAACCTTTCTATTTCAGTTGAGGTGTTCCTTCTGCTAGATCTGGAATTTTCCCTTTTAAATTCTCATGAATTTTTCGCACAAAAACAAGAACATACCTGGTTCTGAAAATCTGCCGGTATAGCAGCATTGACTATCTTCAGATAGTCAACGGTCATTTCCAATATGGATGCCATGTCCGTCTTCCTGCCCCTGATGTAGGGTAGGAGGACCCGCAGCTGGTCGCAGCTGTCCTTGATCCTCTCTCTAGACGACATAGTGAGTGAGTTAGTATGGTTTCACGCCGCTAAACAATATTCTAGTTATGTCATTCCCGGGAAGAGAAGAGAGAGAGGGCTTCGCAGCTTGTACAAATGTGGGAATAGAACCTATAGGTATTTGGCTGATTCCTGATTTAGGAGGGAAAACGGAGTTATCTGCTTTAAGGCTGTTTTGAACAATCTGTGTCAGTACTGAGTGAGTGAGTATGGTTTTACGCCGCTTTTAGCATTATTCCAGCAATATCACGGCGGGAGACACCACAAAAGGGCATCACACATTGTACCCATGTGGTGAATGGAACCCGGTCTTCAGCTTGACGGGCGGACGCTTTAACCGCTAGGCTACCCCACCGCTCCCTGTCAGTAATGACAACACAACAGCAGAGTATCAGTGCCATGCTACACAAAGAATCGAATTTATGAAGGCATCTTTTGAGAGCTTGCAATTGATCATATTAGTGATTTCAGTTTTAGGCCGCTCTGACGAGTATTCCTGTTGTGTCAGAGGCAACATGACGATGGGGGAAAGCTCAAAGTGATGCAGGTGTTAGAGGTTTAACACCTTCTGAAACCTACCAGCTGGCAACGCTAGAAAACAAGAATTCGAAACCACATTTTTTTTTTTATGTGCTCAAATGATGGAAAGGGCGAATTGCGTCGCCATACATACCCTGTGTAATCACAGACATTCAACAATGCAATAATAATCAGCACGTTCTTCTCTCAGCGTAATACTCCAAATTTGGTAGGGATGCCTTTTATTTATCACTATACACAAATACGATTCTCAAAATATTCAACTGTATATTTATATAGAAAAGTATATCTGATTATCCCTATCAAACTTTGATGAGTATGTTTCAACTGTTAAAGCTTAACGAGTGGAGTAGCCCTAGGTGTCGCTGTTCACTGACAGCAACAATTACCTAATTACCTGCACAGGTATTAGAGCTGTGACAATATATCGTAGTATCGATAATCGTGATACTTTATCTGACGATAAATATACTCACCAACATTGGAAACGCACCAGTCTAAAATTGTCCAAATTTTCATCAAGATGGATTTCAGCATGCCAGTGATCAACGAATATCACTAACATGAAGTCGAAGGGCGTGTCTAGTTGAAAAAATGCTTTAGAAACAAATTCCTGTTTACCGTATGAGTCATAATTCCAAAACGCATCAACATGCAGCCACGCCATGAAAAAAGCGCGGATTTCATTCTGAAATCATTCTGACTGCGACATTAAAAGCAGGTGTATGAGAAACGATTCTCATAGCTTCACTAACGATTGTGAAACGAGGACAGAGATGCCGAGGTTACCACCTCACGAAAAGAACGTGCACTAGGCGTGATTCAGGTTGGCACCAGCAGCAGGGATATTGCTCGACAACTTGGACTTGGCCACTCCACCATCGTTAGGCTTCATAGACGACGTCAGCAGACAGGCAACACCCGTGACCCTCCACGACCTTGGCAACAACGTGTCACGACGCCCCGTCAGGATCGCCATATTGACCTTGACCATATCCGTGATCGAATACTGCCGACTGCCAGGACTGCTGCACTAGTTCAAGGTCGACGTGGGGTCGTCAGCGCTGACACCCTGCGACGCCGTCTACATGTTACAGGGCTCCATGCTCGACGTCCTTACGTTGGACCAAATCTGACCGACAAACACCGTAATGAGCGTATACAATGGGTTAACAGGCATGTTCAATGAAGGTTACAACAATGGCATGGTATGGTAGTCACTGACGAGTCACGTCTTCATCTACGTAATGCTGACGGCCGATTACGTGTTTGGCGTAGACGTGGTGAACGGTTTGATGAGTGTGTAGTTCAGACAGACCGTTGGGGTGGTGGGAGTGCCATGGTCTGGGGTGGAATAAGTTACAATCACAGGACTGCCTTCATGTCTGTCAAGGGAGAGTTAATACCCTTTACTACCGTGACCAGAATCTTCAGAATCACGTCGTATCATTCTGCAATCACTACCAAGATGTCCATACTTTTCAACAGGACAACGCACGGGCACACACAGCTAACTTTCCATGCTGCAACACATCCAGGGAATTCATTGGTCAGTACTACCGCCAGATGTATCCCCCATTGAGCACTTGTGTGACGAAATTGATCAATGTCTTTCGCGGCGACAACATATGCGAAACATCCGGGAATTTGAGGCTACACTACTGCAGAAGTGGAATGCCATCCTCCAGAACTCTATTCGGAGGCTTATTGACTCAATGAGAAGGCGTTGCACTGCATGTGCCAATGCAAATGGCGGTTACACGTGATATTGACTTTTCGATTTGACCCCACGTGTGTTTGATCCTTTCTGACTGTGGAACAATTAAATGAATGACGGTTTTTTCTGTGTTGTTGTTTTTGTCAGTCGTCAATCTGTTATTATCCACTAAAAAATATAAATTCCTTACAGGTGCTTTTAGTAATCTAAACTTTTGTAAGTGGTGCGTTTTCAATGTTGGTGAGTATATATCGATACGTTTTATTCATATCGTGATATGTATCGTTGACCTGAAAATTGTTAATTTTCATTAGATATTGAAGGTTATGTTAAAATTTCTTGCTATTAAAATATAATTTTTTAAGAAAATAACTAAAGAAAGCATACCGTAATATGCATCGAATCGAATCGTATCGTTTCAAGATATCGCGATACATATTGTATCGTGATATTTCTGCATCGTCACACCTCTAACAGGTATGGTGCTGAATAGCAGGATATCTTTTCCGAGTGAAAACAAACAGGACAAATGTTCAGGTGTGTTATAAACAAAGGAAGGCTCCTGACAAGACATCGTTTTGCAGCGTGCACTATTTTGCCATGGACACTAATGTATGCATACCTGCGTAATTTCTCCTTCGTGGTGTGATCAGCAGATGACGCCATTGTCGGACGTGCGGGACGGGGCTGATAGGTGACAGACTGCAAGTTGAAATTCCTGCAAATACGTGTATTAAAGAATCCTATTTTTTTCATGACAAAACATCCTGGTGTGGTGAAAAGAGAGAACGAAAAATGACACATAAGAGCAGAGAGGCTTCTTGGTAATCGCATGACAGAGTCTCAGAAAAGATGAGTTTGTGTTTGATATTTACTACCAGTTTACGGTTTGACAACGGTAACAGGTTCTATTTCCAATCGAATATATGATCATATATGGCTTTACAAATAGTTAGTCTCTCTCCCTGGCCCAAACGTACAAACTGAAAAAAGTATGACTCAAAAATACTTGGGCTAGTCTACTCTCTCTACTGTAAAGATTTACAAGGTTCTTTTTTTTGGTTTTAATATTCTTTAAACATAAACAATGTATAACAATGTATTTCTGGGACTTAATGTTTTGTTATAGTGTGCCTACCAAATTATCTTTTCCCCATATGATAACACGTCACCAAGTACCTGAGCGACGAAAGGACGGTACTGGGGTTGCCGGGAGACCCGTGTTTGGAGGTGGGCGTGGCGTTGGTCGTCACACTGGGAAGGTTACTGGACATCTCACTCCCAGAGGAAGACTGTGCTGTGGCATGTGGCTCCGGCGTCGTCGACAAATTCAGGTCTTGGCTCGCACTGGAAATGTATACACATCATAGGTGGCATTCAGCGAAAAATGTTTTCGTTTTTAATTGTAGTGAGTGAGTGAGTTCAGTTTTACGCCGCTTTCAGCAATATTCGAACAATATCAAGGCGGGGAACACCAGAAAAGGGCTCCACACAGTGTACCCATGTGGGGAATGGAATCCGGGTTTTCAGCGTGACGATCGAACGCTTTAACCACTAGGCTACCCCACTGCCCTGCTTTTGGAAGATATTAGTGTTTTGTTAATCTTGCGACTTAGAAAAGTCCCACATCCCTTCACGTGGTGCACCCGGCATGCACATACTTCAGGTTTGAGGTAACGGTGTCGCTGCAGGCAGAAGAGGGCGTGGTCGGGGTCTTGGGACACTCCGGTGTCAACAAATTCGGGTCGTCCACTGAAGCAAAGGAGCAAATGGATGTTTTGTATCACCATTACAAGACAAGCCAACATTTAGTGATATTCAAAATGTTTGTTGTTGAACACCACACTCAGCAAAGTTTCAGCTACGTGTCGGTGGTCTGTAAATAATCGAGTCTTGACCAGACAGTCCAGTACACGTGGTTCCTGAATTATAAGTTTGTTCATGTTAATCGTTTTATACTGTCGATGCTTATTTGTCCTCTGTTGCACGTGAGATATCAAGACCGACTATTTCCGGAAGATAGAAATATTAGAACATTGTATACAAAATATATATATATATTTACCTGTGTATAAATTTCATATTTTTCAGAAGTCGAGAAGCGACTCTATTATGGCCATCATGGTGCCATACAAGCTTCTTGATGTAAGAGGGTAAAAACCGTAACTCGATATAAACATCTGTCAGATAAACCCAGCCTGCTTCAAAATAATTATATTCTATTGATCAGTAGTATCTCCGCATAATAAAGGCAACTTTTTGTTGTTTAACGCCGCACTATACCAGCTATATGACGACAGAATGTAAATATTCGTGGACCAGACAAACCAGTGACTGATATAATGAGTAACATGCCACGCCATCAGAGTACTGTATGACATGCTAGCAACTGCTAGGTCATTGAGCCGACAACCATTTCTGTTTAGCCACCTCGTGGGTACATGTACTATCCAAGGGCAATCAAGAGCTATAACGCGCAAGTACGATTGGTTGGGGATCGTTGACGTGTACCTTATATTTACTCACGTAACTGAGACCGGTTATGAAACACGTGTGAACAGGGGTATCTTGATAGCATCCGTATTGGTTTGGGGTAGGCAAAACCATTTTTCATCAAACTTCGGTTTTGTTCGTTTAGAAACGTCTCTTATCAACTCAAACAATATGATGCAACCTGGCCACATACAAAGTAACTAATGTTGTGAGTGACGACCCACGCTTTTGGGGCAAGAGCACAGGTAAGTGTGAGTGAGTTGGGCTTAACGCCGCTTTTAGCAATATTCCAGCAATATAACGGCTGGGGACACCAGAAATGGGCTTCACGCATTGTACCCATGTGGGGAATTGAACCCCGGTCTTCGTCGTGACGAGCGAACGCCTTAAACACAAGACTATCCCACCGCCCCGGACAAGTAGGGACCACTGGCAAGGAAACCCGATCCATTTAGTCGCCTCGTACTGTAACGCCGACGTTTTAAGATACAATTTTGATGAAATAGTACGTACGTTTCTACGGCGTTAAAAAATTAAACAAACTGAGAAACCAAGAGTCGTCATTTGCGTTCATGTTGGTTTCGAAGCCACAAAACAGCGGATCCAGGCAATTGTATGGGACACAAATCTGCTTTCTCGTATAGACGTATCATGGTTTCTTTGTCGTTTAATGCCACAAATTCAAGCGGTCTGTAAATAATTCAAACTGGACTAGACAATCCATTGATCAATGATGAGAGCAACAATCCACGCCGTCGGGTTACCATAATATGCCATCAACCAACTCACTAAGCCTGACCACGCCGACCAGCGTATGTTGCCGGACACATAATCTATCCCAGAATTTACTTCGGGTAGATCGTCACGTATGATTGGTTGGTTGTTGTTTAACGCCGCACTGAGCAATATTCCAGTGGTCTGTAAATAATCGAGTCTGTACTAATCAATCAACAGCATAAGCATCGATCTACGCAATTGGGATACGATGACGTGTCAACCAAGTCAGCGAGCCTGACCACCCGATCCCGGCAGACACCTCTTACAACCATGGGTTGCTGAAGATCAATTCTAAATCGGATCTTCACGGGTCTCGTCACGTATGAAATACGTGTGAACAAGCGCATTTTGATAGCATCCGTATTCGTTTCGGCCTATACAGAATAAAGAAGTTGTATATCCATAAAAATAGTTCTCATCCTTCGTTTAAAGAATCTTTAAATATTTCAGATATACAAAGTGTGTAAGAAAGGTTGAATCCGGCATATTTACACTGTTGTTGAGCCACACAGATTAGTATTGACATATGCTAGAGTCCTTTTCAGTCAGGCGCCTCAACTCCTAAGGCTAAGCATAGAAATGAGGTAAAAGAGGGTCAAACGCAGTCATTTATTGTTTTAGCTAGAATATCAAAGAAAGGATGCCTACTGTCTCAGGGGATGGCTGCACCATCATATGACACAGCAATACGCAGGGTGAAGGAAGAGAGGGTTTTTCACGATGGTCTAGCTCAGTTCGACCCATAACCAACATCACAAAGAGACTTTGATGCCTCCAACGACTGAATATTGAACACTAGATGCATTACACTCCATGGTTTAACACCACAGCATTTTAGTGAGTGAATGACTTTAGTTTACGCCGCTGTTAGCAATATTCCAGCAATATCACGGCGGGGGACACCAGAAACGGGCTTCACACATTGTGCCCATGTGGGGAATCGAACCGGGTCTTCGGCGTGACGAGTGAACACCTTAACCATTAGGCTACCCCACCGCCCCAGCATTTTAGACATACCACGACATATAATCTTAATATAGTAGAAAGCCAAAGTGGAACCCACGAGCACGGGAATGGTGCTAAGAAACCAACAATCTGTGCGAACCGTATTCGATCCCATAACCATAGGTCCCTGGTGTGACATGGGACGCAATTCTGCACAGCGCAGTGCCTTTGACGACGTGGCCACATGCATGTGACCGCGAGGGCTAGAGAACCACACGCTTCGCAAACATCTATATCTACTAGAGGTTCCTATCCGATGGGTACCAAAAGCCATCATATGTATACTAGGCTCAAAATATCCCCCAGCGTCATCGATGAATCGGGCAGAATCTATATAGTTGAAGGACACACCTTCGACCGTTGGACCAATTATGTGCTCTTTTCGTGAAAGTACAAACCATCCTAACGTCTCCAAACGATAAAAGTAAGTTTTAACACAGCTTCATTTGAAAAGAAAGCCCTTCACGTGTTGTTTCCTCAGAGGTGATTGAGTGAGTGAGTGAATTGGGTTTTATACGCTGCTTTTGGCAAGGTTCCAGCAATGGGTTTCACACATTGTGCCTATGTGGGGAATCGAACCCGGGCCTTCGGCGTGACGAGCGAACGCTTTAACCACTAGGCTACCCCACCGACCAAGATGAGTGAGTGAGTAAGTATGGTTTTACGCCGCTTTTAGCAATATTCCAGCAATATCACGGCCATAGAGATGATTGAAACCGGGAGTCAGTGTGACCAGCAAACGCTTACCTAAAGTACGATCCACACGCACTTCTGATGTTAACAGGTATAACGATCCCCATCCCCACCCACTGTAATAATAAAAATATAAATTAAAAATGAATTCTTAATTCGGACCTAATGAAGAAAACTTCAAAATTAATGGCAGTGTAACATACATGAAAAGTGGAAAAACATATTACTAATAATTAGTGTTGGGAATTGGTTAAAATCTCATAATTGATGATTGGTTCATTACTACCGATCAATCATCGAAAATAATTGGTTAGCGTCATTTATGAAATAAAAAAAAAACACATGTAGTTCTTTTGGGGTTTTTTGGCAAAATTTCATATCTTTAAAGGATGACTAGTATGTTAGGAACATAAATTTCTTGGAATCTTTAAGATAAATTCAATCATGACTTGAAACGAGCTTCTAGTGCTTACGAAATATAACAGACAAAACCAACCATGTGAAAAATATTGTTAATGAAAACAAGTGTTCCAGAATTGTTTGTGTTCGATTATGAGAAAACATGATCGATTGCTTGGTCGTTTAGTCACTACGACCAATCTTCGATTATTTCAATTAATCGGACCACCACTACTAATAATACCATTTCACATTTTTCCTACAAAGATAAGGTATAATAATAGCCTATATTCAATGTAAGTGTCCGATTATAACTAGTAGGCAATGATATCTTGCTAAATTCCTAAAAGTTTAATAGACTTATCGGGCCAATCTACACCACATTGGAAGTTGAACGGTACGTCACGACCAGCTGACGTTTAAACGCGCAGCCTACCCGAGCTCTTCCGGCTCTACGCGTATAATTTCAACAAGTGTGAAAGCACACACGGGTTGACAGTGTCAACCTTTACTGTAGAATTAAGCTATCCATGAACCGCCCAGGTGCAGAGTTCGTCTGTCACTAGCGTTCCGAACACGTGCGTGCGCGTACAGTGCACGCCAGGCGTCTCACCATGCACGGTCTGCACGGACGTCCATTTCATGTACTTCTGTCTCACTATGGACTTCGTCAAAGGCCCCACTAGCACCTCGTCAATCCCATGCAGTCGTAAGTCAACTGAAACAGAGTGTCAGAATCAAACTGGGCTCTGTCTCGCACACATGCTTGTCTTTAATCTGTCTTACTGCGACATTTCACCAACTGTCAAATTCATTTACATTAATACAAATTTATAATCAGACTATTTAGTTGTCTGAAAGATTTTAATCAAGCTTGCCTGGACTGTCAATATGCCAAAATCGCCGCTCCGTAACAAAGCCATCTGTTATGAGTGAGTGAGTGAATTGGGTTTCACGCCGCTTTTAGCAATATGACAGCAACATCACGGCGGGGGGACACCGGAAATGGCTTTCACACATTGTACCCATGTGGGGTATTGAAACCAGGTCAAAAGCGTGACGAGCGGACGCTTTAACCATTAGGCTACCCCGCCGCTCAGTGCCTGCCGGACAGAGGATCACGACAGTCCGTTTGAGACAAAATGATACCCTTGAATTGCAATCTAACACAAAACCAAATCGACATAAAAAGAATCAAACCAACGCGGACTGCAATAAAACAACAGACCAACTCTAGAAAAAAACTGCAGAATTTGTGTCACAAAAATAAAAAAGTTGTTTAAGAAACTGTCATAATTTATTTAAGCGTTTTCCCAGTTTGTTACAAGGGCACATTGGCAACTAAAGGAACAGCGCGAAAAGCGAGATGCACGTGCGTTAACGGGTCCTCAAACAAACTTTTGAGGCAGTGCGCTGTATGTACATAGTTATTGCATACTTGGGTCACCCCCTGTCATTTTCATCCTTGAAGAAATCATAGACTTTGTAAATTATGGACTATCATTTTCTCTCACTTTGTCACTCAGCGGTAATCACATCATGTCTCTGACGTCACTAATGCACATGCATTTAGCTTTTGGCGCTGTTCCTTTAGTTTGCCACTGCGCCCTTGTAAAAACACTTGGAAAACGCACAAATAAATGATGACAGTTTCTTAAACAACGTTTTTATGTTTATAACAAAAATTCTGCAATTTTTTTCTAGAGTTGGTCTGTTGTTTATATTGCACTCCGCGTTGGTTTGATTCTTTTATGTCTATTTGTTTTTGTGTTAGATTGCAATTCATCGGTATCATTTTGTCTCAAAAGGACTGTAGTTTGATCGTCTGGGCGTCGCATACTGTGATTCTTAACATAATTGTACTTCTTGTTATACTGCAGGGTGATAGAGTAAGTGACTGAGTGGTGTTTTACGCCGCAATAACAATTTTCCAGCAACATCACGGCGGGAGACACCAGAAATGGGAAATATTGATCATGGCGAATATTTGATTCTAAACCACTGCTGTCTGGCACAAGCTTCCACCCAACTAATATTGATATCTGGCGGTATGCTTGAATTTGCAGATAATGTTAAGCCTGAACCCAGCCACGAACATAACGGACATTACCATCGGGTTGAATGTCTGCTATTCCAAGAATGATGGTCCCACGATTAGACTTGCTGGCGTACCTGTAATAAAGACAATATGGATTGACATAGCTTCAGCACAGTGATTAGGGGAGTTAAAATGTATTGTGGCATCGGTATTATTTCAGCCACTTAGCGACGAGGCTATCACGTAACACCGTTAGGAAAATATCTCTGGAGGAACGGTTTGTTTCGTTCAAAAATGAGTGAGTGAGTTTAGTTTTTACGCCTCTTTCAGCAATATTCCAGCAATACACCAGAGATGGGCTTCACACATCGTACCCATGTGGGGAATCGAAACCGGGTCTGCGGCGTGACAATCGAACGCTTTAACCACTAGGCTACCCAACCGCCCCTCGTTGTCAAAGACCACAATCAGCTGTATATTCTATAGTACTGTCGGAAATAGAAAAAAACTGTTTTGAGGCTGTTAATCTGTATCCCTAAAATTTACACAATTGCAAATAGCATATGTCGAAATAACCCACTTCGGCCTAACTGGGCGTTCAGTGGGATGCGTAATACGATATCCAGAAAAGCATGTTTACTCGTAAAATCGGGCAAAACTTAGAAAAAATACGAATAGCTGCTTAAAACAATAGATCAGACTATAGATGGCAATTAGGTCGCTCAGCCAGGTATGACGACGGACCGTCGACTCACCTGGCATGAAATGCACGTGCTGCCTACAGGCACAAGGGGTCATCTCAAAGATATTTTGTGCTTTGTCCATGTGTTTTGACTATGTCTCATCTACTGATTAACATCTTACGTGTCTTTCTTTCATAAAGTTTATGTTGAGATATGTAAGAGAGTATGATACCCGAAAACCATAGAAACGCATCGTAGTATATAGGTGGCATGACCACCCGAAGATCGACAGGACTGGATATTATTTGTAAATTGTTATGACGTGCCGTATACCTCCCCAGTATAATTGCCCTAAAGGATTATCTTATCTTAGCTGATATCTCTATCCCCAAGCCCGACCCCAGGTTTTGTTTTTGAGGCGACCCCTCCTATCTGTTTCTTTTTATAGTGACAGTGAGACTGCGTGGTAGCTACATCCTTAATAGTTTCGGCATAAAAGTTATTATTTTTTACGTCAGCTATCGTTTATAATGAATCTACGTCTAATTTCAAATTGGGCATTTAAAAAGTGTCCCTTGTAATACAATATCGTCGCACACTAATTTCAATAAAGCCATGGTCGGTTCCAAATACGTCTTTTTGGACTTAGAAAAAACCGCATTGCTCATTTCTGCACTAATTTCCCCTCAGTAAAGTCCTTTTTCTCCGTTTCCTATCTCTCTACCAATGAGACTGTAGTTAGGCCGAACTCAGTTTAACAGATATTTCACACTTTCACATATCAACTACATAAATTGTAGAGATAAATGAGAAAATACAGTTTTTTTTCTATTTCCGACAGTACTATAGTTATAACATGGTTGTAAATCACTGAGTCTGTGCAAAAGAAACTATTAGTTGAAACTATGAGACAAGACCCTCGCCATTCCCAGTCAAGTCACCGACCCCGATCATCTAATCCAAATTTGTCGATGCTCACTACTGCAGTGAGTGATTTGAGTTTTAATCCGCTTTTAGCAATATTCCAGCAATATCAGGGCGTGGCACACAAAAAATGCGCTTCACAGTGTACCCATATGAGGAATCGAACCAGGGTCTTCGGCGTGACGAGCGAACGCTTTATCCACTAGGTTACCCCCACCACCCCGGTATGTCGGAACTCGTCGCTACATGGCTGAACTAAAGCTGATGCGACGTTAATTAATAACTCACTCACCCGGGTTCCCTTAGGGTTACGCATGGCGCTTGGTTTATATTCAATTTACTTTGAGTATTGATAGGTTTTGATGGCTATATTCGATAATTTTTATTCAGAGTCTATTAGATATTTTTAATCCATTGAGTGAACTGTCTTAAATGCTTTAATCAGGGGCTTCTAATTTGCACCTGCCCATGTCCTTGTGAGTGAGTGAGTGATTATGGTTTTACGCTGCTGTGTTCAAGCAATCTGACGGCGGGGGACACCAGTAATGGGCTTCACACATTATACCCATGTGGGAAATCGAACCCGAGTCTTCAAGGTGACGAGCGAACGCTTTAACCATTAGGCTGCCCTACCGCCCCCATGTCATGTGACATAAGATCAACTGTGATACAGATCCAAGTTACAATAAGCAAGACCATGAACACAATTTCTCGGCAACAGAGTTCGTGTATTGTTTACATCATCAAAATTGTTTTAAAGGAAACAATATTTACAATACAAAGCACAGGCCGATATATCCTTTCACAGCACTGCCCGACGTTTCAACCAATCAGATCGAAGCTTGGATGTCTAATCTTCACGACGCGTTTTACCTTATGGACGTGGAGAGACTCAATGTCTCTTGGTTGGCTGGCACGGTCATTTTCATCCATATCAGCTGATACAAGTTGTTGTTGCAAGCATCGAATGTCTCCTCGTGCCTGTATGCGTGGACTTCGTGCTCCAGCACAACCTGGCTGATGAGCTCGCGCAGTCTGGCGCTCTCCTGGCCATCCGCCACAACCAGTGACTTGAGCTCAGATTCTGTGGTCTGGGAACAAATTTATGGTCTGTGCATTTCAGGAATATCATCATAGTACGTATCTTACAAGTTTCAAAGCAAGTGAGTAACATCTTTTGTTTAATACTGTAATTGCAGAGTTATTTCTGTGGTGTTTTTATCGATGTGGACTAGGTTAAATGGGTGCTTCGCTTTCGTTCATTATTTAGACTTGATTACACCCCTTGTGAGACATTCTCCTGGCCTAGCTTTATTTACAATTTAGTAGAAGCAAAATATTAACGCTATCTTCAAGCTGATAGCAACTGCTTCTACTGACTGACTGAGTTTGGTTTTACGCCGCTTTTAGCAATATTCCAGCGACATCGGGGCGGGGGACACCAGAAATGGGCTTCACACATTGTGCCCATGTGGGGATTCGAACCCGGTCTTCGGCGTGACGAGCCAACGCTTTAACCATTAGGCTACCCCACCGCCCCGCAACTGCTTCTAAAGTCCCATACATGTAACGTTTAATCAACGTATTTGTGATGTATATATTTTTCGACAGTAACTGGTTATATTTCATACCATGCTCGTGTCAAAATGTTCTTATTCTCATTTCGGCATGTCCCGAAACATGAACGTTATTCTGTTTGCAGTTCTTATGCCACAAATATCAATACTTACTAAGGTAACATTATGTCGCCAACAACACACGTAATATCAAGCAACATTTGGAGAACAAGAAGGCGCCAGTTTAAGAGTTGATAAACAAGGGTGTCAAAAATGACATGCGGGAGTTACCAGTCGCATGAGCGGGGATGTTATATTGACAAACTTTACAACATTGTAACGATTTAGTGCAGGATGTGAACCGAGCACCTGTCAGTCGGCTGGGAATAATGACGATAATGTACATCAGTGTGGTACATACAATCAAGTATAATCCATTTAGCAATTCCAACAATGTTTGCAGACTTACGTTTCCAAACTTCCGTGGATTGCATATAAATTGAACAGCCATCCCGCAGTTCAAATTCATTCTTAAATAAAAATTTGTATGGCATGCATATCTTCACAGGATGCTGAAGGATTTAGACAATGACACGATAGAAAGTTAACGATCACACCTACTTCAAAGTTCATTTGATTTTCCGCTGAAGCATCAGGTTGCCACATTGTTCGTATCACGAGCAACTGCCTGTGCACTGCTGTGCGAACTTGTAACACTTTTCTGACATCCCTGCACGTGTTCGTTGACGCGCCTGTACGAACATGTACGGCACGTGCAAATGAAATGCAGGCGTATTCTAACGGTGAACCCGGTGAGTGCTTCCGCAGTTTTGTGTCTATGGTATCGAAACCCTGAATAAGTCGTAATCTGTAATATTAATGAAGCAAACCAGAGACCGCCGAACGGAGGACATAGTAAACCAGAATAGGCACCAACGCATATCGGTTCAACTATTACTTGAGAAATAGTGAGTATGGTTTTATCGCTTTAAGCAATATTCCAGCAATATTCCAGCAATATCACGGCGGGGGACACCAGAAATGGGCTTCACACATTGTACCCATGTGGGGAATCGAACCCGGGTCTTCGGCGTGACGAGCGAACGTTTTAACCACTAGGCCACCGCCCACTTGAGAAATAAACAATTATAGCAACGTGTAATGATTTGAGGGTTTACACAACACGGGATTGGGTTTGAACCAAAGACAGCTCTCACGCGATTCGTAACTCACATACTTTGACATAGACTTACAGAGAGCTTTGTGGAAAAGGAGCCTTACTAAAGGTTTCATTATATCCAGGTGAGGTGGACCGTAAGAATCACGGAAAGACCAGATTTTAAGATAGTGAAAATTGTAAAAATTTGGTGGCGTTGTAAAAAGAGACGTCAGCGCGGGCGTGATCGTTACTCCTTAGCTTACGACAGTCGTAACGCGAAGGGTTGCTTTGTACATCGGCATCATCGGATTTAAGGTTGCGTTCAAGCCAGCCACTGACAAGAAATAACATGCTGGAGTATAAAACGGTTACCTACTCAGATTCATGATACACTCTCCCCAGGCGGCTACTCCCTGCCTGATCCGACGATGCCGAACGTCAGGCAGGGTGAAAAGAAGTACCATATTTTGACGTAATTTGGTCTGACGCGGCCTTCCGTTTTCCGGACACTCTTATTACAACTGCACCACGGCGGCGATACAAAATATGTAATTTCAGCAGGAACTTTGAAGTGGATGGGTATTGATAGGGTACAGCATGAACGGAGCTTCCATACAATGAACGGATTCTTAAGGTTTTATGCTATGAAAAGTGTGCACTGTAAAAACTCTCATTAGTAAATCTACCTTCAAGTCCGGAGTATCCCGGCCAGGTGGGATAGCTCGGCTGTTGACTGTGGCGGGTACTCCGGAGTAACCATTCGTAAAGCCAGGTGCTTGTTCAGCCTGAAGCAAACAAACCATAGATGAATGATAGGCATGACAAGAGGTGTAACGATATGGTACTTGGGGCGGGATACGATTCGTATCCCAAAATAGTACCTTTATATCATAATTTAATACCATTTCTTTTTGTAGGTGATAGATTCACAACCCTGAATCGTTTGTTATTAATTTCAGAGATCAAAGATGGGTTTTTGTCGGACGAGAACTGGAGGCCACCAAGAACGTGTATGCTTCAACAGGGACCACTACAGAGTCTGCATAAGGAGGTCATGGAAATGTTTATGTTATTATTTCTATGTTTTTACATCAGCATAAGTACATAATGCAATAAATCGTATTTATATCGATACAGGGTTGCCATGCGATATATGCTGTATCGTGGGCCTCGTATAGCTGGAATATTGCACAGTGTGGCGTAAAACTAAACTCACTCACTCATATTGGAATACAGTACTGTATCGCCGAATACAGTATACACCGAGAAAGGATGAAGACGGCACAACACAGGTAAATGAATCAATAACTTTGTCGGCACTTGTGCACGTGCTTGGCGTACAGCTGGTTGTTCCTCTCTTTGCACTCCTCCCTCTTAACAAATAGTGAACTGTGTCAAAAATTTATGAGTTTGTTAAACAACTTTCTCATTTTTAGGACATAATTTCTGCAAAAAAAACCTCACAGAGTTGGTCTGATGTTTAGATTATGATGAGCGTTTCATTGAGTGTTATATGTTTATTAGTTTTCGAGTTAGATTGCAATTCCTCGGTCCGCTTTTGAGCCAAACGGACTACAACAGCAAGTACCGAGGACCCCGAATGCTGCGTAAACCACACTGCGCTAACAATAATTAACCAATACCCCCACCAACACCAAAAATGGGCTTCATACATTGCATCTGTGTGAAGAATCGAACTGGGTTTTCGGCGGGACGAGTTAACGATTTAATCCACAGGGCGACCCCACCGTCCCAAACATCAGTTGATGTTTCTTAACGCAGTAATTAGAAAACAAAGTTCAACGATGGTAATATTTACCAGACAACTGGATTAAGATTACGAATCCCGTATTGACGCAGTGAGTGAGTTCAGTTTCACGCCGCTTTTTAACAATATTCCAGCTATATCACGGCGGGGGACACCAGGGGCGGTGGGGTAGCCTTGTGGTTAAAGCGTTGGCTCGTCACGCCGAAGACCCGGGTTCGAATCCCCACATGGGTACAATGTGTGAAGCCCATTTCTGGTGTCCCCCGCCGTGATGTTGCTGGAATATTGCTAAAAGCGGCGTAAAACCAAACTCAGTCAGTCAGTCAGTCGGGGGACACCAGAAATGGGCTTCACACATTGTACCCATGTGGGGAATCGAACCCGGGTCTTCGGCGTGACGAGCGAACGCTTTAACCACTAGGCTACCCCACCGCCCCCTATTGACGCAGTGAACCAGAGCACGTACGTTAAGTTAGGTTTGTGGCTTATGGAACCGTATCAATATGAAACGAACGCCATAAAAAGCTGGATTCCGAGATTTAAGTGAAAGGGAATGCGTGACTTAACTGATGCCAGAGCCAGCATCACAATCGTCTCGTGAAAGACCCTGGGACAAACATCGCCATACAGACTGAATCGATGCACCTGCATCGAAGATGAAATGATTGTTTGAGATGGTGCTCAGAACATATATGGTTTGCTGGTAAAAAGTCTGTCCTCACAAACAAACTATTCATGTAGAAATTCTTCATCTTCAGCAATGCTGCTGTCGGTTGTCAACGCCTCAGTTATTGATGGGCGACTTATGGCATAAATAAAACAATTATAGTTAAAGTGAGTAAGTGGATGATTTTAGTTTTACCAATATTCCAGCAATATCATGGGCGGGGACACCATAAATGGTCTCTTCCCCATGTGGGTACAACCGCCCGTTTTTTGTTAAATCACAATCCGGATATAAAGCATTAATTACTCATATCACGGAGGACAATCAGCGGCCAAATCTGGCACTGACACAGTCGATGGTGTGAGCAAAAATGGTCACAAGAAACCAATTACATTTTGTGTATTTGTTGGCATCCAACAATATTCCAGCTAAATGACAGCTATATGCAATATGATTGAATACTGCACCCCTTAACCTCTTTTGAGTAGTATATTAAATCTACTAACAAAATGAAGATACATTGTCTTTGCTAATCGAGAATGATACTTTGTGAGACATCCACCTAAGTGGGAAATGGGCCATGAAGAATGAGCGAGTGAGTTGTGTTTTACGCCGCTTTTAGCACTATTCCAGCAATATCACGCCGGCGACACCAGAAATGGGCTTCGCACATTCTACCTGTGTGGGGAATCGAACCCGGTACGAGCGAACGCTTTAACCACAATGCTAACACACACACACACACACATGAAGAATGAGAAATGTACATTAATTCTGTGTGACTGAGCCAGTGATGAACGTTTTGTACTATGTCGGCGGATTTTTTCTACAAATAGTGAGTGGGTGAATATCTTATGCCAGGTTAGCTATTCTCGAAACGTTCGTAGCCCTACGAACTTCTTAAGCCCATTCTTAACACATTAGCCACGATCAAATTTAAGAATTCTTAGGGCTACGAACGTTTCGAGAATAAGGGTCCAGGGCCTAGATTTTCGAAGCTCTCTTAGCGCTAAGATAGTCGTAAGTTAATGTTAAGGTAAGGCACTTACGACTATCTTAGCGCTAAGAGAGCTTCGAAAATCTCGGCCCTGGTCATCATCGAAGAACAGTTCCCCGCTGTACCTCAGCTGATTCTCTACTTTACTTGGTGTTGGTATATCTCGGTGGACAAGCCAGATTAACTCAGGAGCACCCATACACAGTCTTTGAGTTCACTTTTGTGAAAACAACCAGGGCTAATCTACAACAACAAACATGGATATGGTGCTAACAAACCAGGAACCATATCAAGGGTTGGTTTGGTACCATGTTTCCCTTGCAGACAGAATCCAAGGGCCTTGGCCAAAAACTATCACCGGTACCCCTTGTTTCAGTCTCATATGAAACACTAGTGCTGGGAACGACTTCTTCTCTTCTAGTAGTCCTGAATCCTCACGGGAAATTCGGGCGTGAAGAGCGAACGCTTTGACAACTGACCTACCCCATCGCACCTTTACGGATTGACACGTAGTTCTGTTTAGGAAACCATACTATAAATCTCTTAAGAAGGTAGAAAAGTTTTGTCAACTGACTGACTGAAATTCACGATGTCCCCACACACTGCCAAGAGTGAGTGAGTTTAGTGTGACGCTGCTTTTAGCAATATTCCAGCAATTTGACACCATAATGTTAAGAAGGCCAGGTGCATGATCCTGAGTTTGCAAACTGTGTGTGAATGTAAAGTTAGTGACGAAGACCAAAAAATAACCTTTATTAGCATAAGGCACCAGTTCACTACATGGCAGTCACATGGAGAAGTATTGAAGGGGTAAGTTAGGTTCTGCACTAGTCCAGCATATAACTAGACGACTTTGCACTATACCAAAAGTAGGCCTTGGGCTGGAATACGAGTTTATTCATATGAACTAAGTTCTGCAACAGCTACGTACCCTAAGTTTTAGAATGAGCGAGTATGGTTTTACGCCGCATTTAACAATATGTCATCTGTCAAGGGGAGGGCACCAGAAATGGACAAATCAGGTTGTTAGATGTTGAGATCCGCACCCAGATCTTCGGCGCGACGAGCATGCATATACAACTTTGGCACATATCCCCGATCAGCCGAGCGGACACATCATCACGAAATACCTACATGCGTATCTGAGTGACACGAAATCTGCATGCACCTCAACACTGCGTGCTGCAGATTGATTCACTGAACGTAGGTAAGGAGATTTAAGGTAAATGAACAGTATTTTAGTTATGTCACGGCGTGGCAGGTTGAGTGTGAGGAGAGCTTGAAATCATGGAGATCATGGTTTAAAACCCAGAATGTTGATAACGGACTAACTGTCATGATCCACATGATCCTGGCAGTGATAAGGGGCGTAACTGTGTAAGTTATATTTAGGCCAAGGAACCGCTCGGCCTAGTAGAATAAGACTCCAAACTATATTAGTAAAAATCCCGGAAACATGAGACATTTTTCTCCAATACGATACCCTTATGTGATTTAACACTACCCTTTACTAGGTGTTGGGGTAGCACAATGGCTAAGGTGCTCGCCCTACCTGAAGCCCAGGGTGCTGTTGTACAAAACAACCTGAGCGCTAAGATCGCTTTTTACAACGGCCCCCAGGGCCTCCTATAAAGCACTAAGGTGATCGAAAGTCACTAAGGTAACTTTAGTGCAATGTTAAAGAATGGGAGTTTAGGTTAAACTTAGTAAAGGTTGCTTCGTGAAAGGACCCCGAGTTACTGCATGGGTACCGTCATAAACTGGAATATTGCTGAGTGCGGCGTAAAACTAAACTCACTACTTAATGGGTACACTTCTGGTATCATCGTGATATGGAGAATATTGCAAAAAGCGGCTTAAAACCATCCTCATTCACCCACAGAAGCAAAAGTGAGTGAGTTTAGTTTTACGCCGCACTCAGCAATATTCCAGCTATATGGCGGCGGAAACAAACTATTAACATTCATTTCTCAGCACTCACCTACAGATTCTACTAATTTAGTAAGTGAGTGAGTTAAATTATACGCCGCTTTTAGCAATAGTCCAGCAATATCACATCGGGGAACACCAGAAATGGTCTTCACACATTGTACCCATGTGGGGAATTGAACCCGGGTCTTCATCATGACGAACAGGCGTTTTAACCATTAGGCTACCCCACCGCCCCTTGCCTGCCAGGCGGAGGGTCAGTGTTTTGATCCTCTGGCCGCCGCATACTATAATACTTAATGGCAAGTTTACACGAAAATTAACCTATTTCTCTTGCACTTTTTCATCTAAAAAGTGTTTGTCAAGTAGTTTTAGAGCCAAAACAATACAGATATCAGAAGTAACTAACATATTTTTTGCGTTATATCGATTCAAATTTCCACATGGTGTATGCTGCTGGGTGTTAGACGTATACCTGTTTGGTGAAACGTGACGGGTGAACGCTAGCCACCGACCCTCTACTTATTTAGGTAATGAAGGTTTTGAATTGAGAGAGAAAGATAAACAAATATATTTATATGTATCTATTTACATATTTCGTCCACATTAGTTTTTCTGTTTCAGAAATGTATGCCTGTATGCAGGTTAGTAGATAGTTTCATCAATAGAATAATGGTGTTTAAAGCCGCGGCGGGATGGCAGGAATCAGTACGTAGTTGAGACCACACAAACCCGTGATTGAAGCTATGAGCACTCTCCCATGCTGTACAGGCATGAGTGCAAACTATTGGTGGTGGAATTGGGTTAACGTCGTGCTTGAGAATATTTTGCTCATATGACGACGTGCATGCATGTGTATGTATGTGCGGCTGCTTGTGCTAGCCCAGACTGAAGCTGGTTTTGTAGTGCTAGCCCACCGAGATACCATGCCGCAGTGAAGCATGAATACCCCACTCAGACACATTATACTGACTCCGAGTCGACAAGTCCTTGATGTACCCATTAATGCCGAGCGCCAGACAGGGACCAAGTACCATATTTTAACGTCTTTTTGGTATGACGCGGTCGGAGATCGAACCCGCGACCTTCCGCTCTCCGGGCGGACGCTCTAACCACTACACCATGGACGCAGTCGTGTGCAAACTATTTGTGATGTAACTATGTGGAAATACAGTATTGTATCTAAATACGAGGAACACTACAAAACGTCGATTTACAACTCGCAATACTTACGATACAATACATTACAGGTTACACCAATGTAAAAACATATGAGTGAGTGAGTGAGTTTGGTTTTACGCCGCTTTTAGCAATATTCCAGCAATATCACGGCGGGGGGACACCAGAAATGGGCTTCACACATGTAAAAACATATGAATAATAACAGGTACAATAAAAGAATTTAAAAAACAAAACAAAAAAAACTCTTCAAGAACCAGTTTATGCAGATTCTTTAGCATTGTTAGTCGGCTGTGAACAGCAGAATCTTTACAGTGCCCTCAAACTTAAATGTTTCACCCTTGCAATATTCCATCCCTGGCGTTTGAGGTTTAAACACAAATGATTCAGGATTGCAAATCACCTGCAACAAGGGAGAGAATATGGACCTATGGAATATACTTTATCGGCCGGGATACGAACCGTATCGCACCCTTATTATCGGAATATATCATTAAGCGGCCTCATATCGTATCCTTACGCCTCCACAAACTATCGACCATCGATCCACTGTTTCGCCTCTTACGACTGACTGACTGACTGAGTTTGGTTTTACGCCGCTTTTAGCAATATTCCAGCAACATCACGGCGGGGGACACCAGAAATGGGCTTCACACATTGTGCCCATGTGGGGATTCGAACCCGGGTCTTCGGCGTGACGAGCCAACGCTTTAACCATTAGGCTACCCCACCGCCCCTCGCCTCTTACGACATCCCGGGGACAGTTTTGATTTGGAGGATTGTCACATACGAGGATTGATTGATAGAGGGAATTACGTAATAGCGAAGTCTTTTGTTGTGGACATTGAGGGTCAGAGAGGTATGTCCTCACACACATTTACTTACCTAATTGTTTCCCTGTAATAGGTTAATGATCTAACGTGAGGAACATGTTATCAAATACTTGAAGAAAATGGCATAACAGCAAAAGTCATCCAAGAATAGTGAGTTTAGTTTTACGCCGCTTTTAGCAATATTCCAGCAATATCAGGGTGGGGCGAATTGAAATTGTGTCTTTGGAGTGACCACGGGGAGAAGTGAATTATTTTCCGCAAAATTTCTCGTGGACTGCTTTTGCCACATACTGGATCTACTTATTAATTTAGGGAATAAAAAAGCTCAATCGAGATGAGAGCTCGAGAGAGACTGAATGGGAGCATACCGTGACCAATTCATCAACTGAAGGGTGGGGCGCTTTTCAGCAAATTCTTACTTTTAGGTTACCAAGCCTGCAAATCATCCACGTAATCCAAGTCAAGAAATAACAGCTCTGAAAACAGTCAAGTCTGGACTCGACAATCCAATGATTGATACAGTAATCGACTTCAGTGAGAGTGAATTAATGAGTTTAGTTTTACGCCGCACTCAGCAATATTCCAGTTATGTGGCGTCGGTCTGTAAATAATCGAGCCTGGACCAGACAATCCAGTGATCAACAACATGAGCATCGATCCACACAAATGGGATACGATCTTCAGCCATACCACCGAATCGGACTTGTTCCCTTCTTTAAATACCTAACTCGACCAGCATAGGTCGCTGGGAAATATTTTATAACGGACAGGATTTGGCGGTGATGAAAATGAATGCACTCGGCCAAGAAGAGTCCCTTTCGGACACAATGAACGTGCCCTGATCTCAGTGTGTATGTTTTATCTATTTGCTTACGTTTCACTCATTTATAATTTGATCAACTAACAATGTAACACATCAGGTCTCTATATACATTATCATATGACACTCCCAACTCAGATGATCCCATGTTTGTGTAGCGGTCATAAAATGTCTGAGTCCAGTCCTGGGATTCGAACCACGGACCTTCCGATCGGAAGACGGACGCCGTGTCCACATGACCAAGAGGTAAACATCAAGCTGACACGGTTAGGATGTCATCTGTGGGATGACTCCATGCTCTGCTACATTTGCACCTAAGGTGTGATATTTGATATATCAGCTCATGGCATACAGTCTGTGGTGTGATATTTGATGTATCAGCTCATGGCATATTCTGTGTTATTGAATACGAACCATACCACAAATAATAATAAGCAACGACATTCAGGTTAGTACAAGTTGTATTGACCTCAAGTTTAAAGAAATGCATCAATTCGTCCATCGGCAGTAGCGATCTTAAAAACAGGGTACTAGTATGTCCTACATTGTGGACCCGGCGCGATTTGACAACATGCGTCATGTATCGAAGATTGTATGGGCGAGCCCTACGGGACACATTAGTAGCCGAATGTGATACAACTGTGAAAGGTCTGTTTACATTATATACTTTATTTTGTCAACTCACCCATGGATCTGAGGGGCTCAAAGCTTGTGGGGTGCTTGTGCTTGGGTTGTAATAAACTTCTTCAAGAAATAGTCCCTCACTGCAAATACTTGTCGCATCGTCAGTGCTTTCGTGGCAGGAATTATTGTCTAACATGGACGGTATTCGCATGTCTTTACCATCGCCCGCTTCGTTTGTTGAAGTCGAGCTGTTTTCATCAACAGTCCTGTCATTCGCGTTGTCCGACTTGGACGACATAGCCGGTAACGAGTTGAATAACAGCGTCTGTTATCTGACTTGGAACGCTGGGTATAAAGTTACCCGGATTAGTGCAAACTACTTTCCAACCCGATGGCCAATCGATGTCGATTTCAGAGCGTGGCCAGGTAAACGACATGCCACTCACCAATGAAGAAGACCGTTTTGGCTCGCGAAAAGCATGCGCGTAGTAATTTGCATATGAATGGCATGTTCAATTGACAAGGATAGTTTGGGGTCAGCCTCGGTAATAAATGGAATCAATTGTTACATATCAAAGATTCGAATTTTTGTACATGAAGCAATTCAATACCCGAGAAATGAATATTTTGCTGGTTTCTGACATATATTTTCAGTGGATCTACATCTTGTTCAGAATTAACACGGTCGCTTTCAGAGTTTTGGATAGATCAACAATCTGCGGCACTTTTATCTACAGTATCGATGCTGTCATAATAATATCAATATTTACACCATCGGGGATGGCAGGTGACTTTGTACCTGAACCAATAACATTCTGTTTTGTGTAAAATCAATCGTTTGGTTTGTTGTGTGATTCGTGTGAACACGTTTTTAATGTATTATATTTTTTCATTCTTACCAAGTTCTATAAACGTATTGCCCTCAGTAACCAGTTTTTAGATCGACCAAGACCAGTGTACTCTCAATATATATGCATGCAGAGATTTGTTTGTTCATTCCCAAGATAACCGTCAGAAACAATCCTGATTAGTAAATATCTCAAATGACTAAGAACAATGTTCCGCTTCAGGCTCTTAAAAGGGCAAACCCTTACAACAGATACGTTCAATCATTGGCATCCCGTCACATGATAAAATGACAGGATTGTGATGTTGTCATTTAGAACAATATATCCCCATCTACGGGTGATCGGGTACGAGAACGCAGATATACTGGTAAACATATTTTTAAACATGACGGCACCGATTTCAATAAAAATAATCCGGATTGTCATATTCTGACTGACAAATCGAGATCATTTACCTTTTTATACTTTCGCAAGGACTTTCCGCAAAGGCAGGTTTCCGCGGTTTCACGATACTATCGCAATAACTAGTAGGAGATTTTTTTATAATGGACCATTCATAATTATTGGCTGGGGGAGGGTGATGATGATTATTATGGAGAAGCATGTACAAAGTTTACTCCACACACTCCACCCCAACCCCTGGTGGAAAACACACACACACAACCCATAAAATCATCATGAACCAACACCCCCCACCCCACCCACAAGCTATAAGTTATGAACGGTCCCTAATAATCATTGCCTACGTGATTAATAATCGCGAACAAACACCGAAGGTTCTCTTTAAGGGTATCAAACTCATCAACGCTGAAAATCGACAGCTGGCGGTTTACTTTTTTTAAGTTTGTTTTGCACAGGTCTCGTGCTTGCAGCTATCGTTTTTGTGCGGTCACGATATGGCTGAAATATTGCTGATGCGACTTTAAATCTTAACTCACTCACTCATTTTTGTGCGATTTAAGGATATTCTTTTACACATTTACATATTAGCTCAAATAATTATCGCGAAATGGGAAATTAAATATAGTTTAGGCGCCAACGAAATGCATACAGCAATCATATAGCAGTACATGTTTGTACTATTCTGAAACTATCTTACCTCCTGTCTTTAATATGTGCTATAGACTAGGGCGAAGTTTCTGCTGTTTAACTGAAGTCCTCGAGTTCAATCATAAGATCTGTAGCAATTATCAATTATGCGGTGTCAGTTATAAATGAAATGTTTGGGTCTGTCCCATCCCCACCACGTATAAATTAGATAATGTTGACTATTCTGTATTTTTCTAAATATTTTATACCCAAATTCAACCAATCCGTTTGTATGGTGCCTACGTATGGGGTATTAAGAAAATTTTATCAGATTGAAAATGTACATTTAACTGCATGTAAGAAGTTCTTAAATGTTGGTCCCCAAACACCAAATGTAATTGTTTATGGTGAATGTGGACGTTACCCAATGTATATAAATACACAACGGCGTTTCATAAAATACTGGCTTAAACTTGTAAAATTACATCAACAAAGAATTCCCCAAAAAGCTTATGATATACGATAATTGTGGTTATGATAACTATGTTTCATCTGTGCGTAATTTATTGTTTTCATGTGGATTTGATTATGTTTGGTTATTTCAAGGTGTTGGTAATGAATCCCAGTTTCTTCAAATGTAAAGTTTCAGTTGACATGTATATACAGTTATGGAATAGTATAATTGAAAGGTCAAGGTATAAGCTGTAGAGACAATTTAAAACCCTTTTAGAGTCAGAAAAATATTAAGATATGTTAACAAATAAGAAACACAGAAATATTCTTACTAGGATCAGAGATTTTGCATGCATGTTTTTACGATGTTCACCTTGATCAAAACAGGATTATAGTTTTTTTATATTTTTCAGTTTTCATTAACCTAATGGAGTTACTTCCTTCCTAACATTGTTTTTACAACATAAACAATATAAAATAAAGTCATTGTCATTATCCATAATCTCTTCGCTTTTGGGTTTGGATTAGTACATTTGGACTGGTCCATTAATTAACGAAGGTAACAGTGTAGTGAACCTCAGTGCAACCAACCATAACCTTTGTTGTTTTAACGTGTCTAACTTTTGGGACGTCTAACTTTTGGGAGGACACCCCACCACGCACGCACGCATACACAGTTGCAAATTGCACAGGGGCTTGTAACGCTAAAAACTCCTATCAATGTATGTACCGTCACTAACGGAATCTTAGGAAAGGAAAGCTAAAGCTAAAAGGAATGCTTTCTTTTTAAATATTGCTAAGTACATGCCCGGGCCTTCGGTGTGAGAGCGAACGCTTTAACCACTGGGCTACCCCACCGCTCCTTGTACGTTTTAAGCGGAGAATTATTCATGAGGTTAAAAGTTAAACACAAACCTTCAACCAAATCCACATTCCCCATTTTAAGCGTTCTGCTCCAGAAGCAAAACGAAACAAACTAACACTCATTTTGTTGCCTTGGAATTGCAAATAGTATCCGTGGAAATGCAAATAGTATCCGTGGAAAAACAAAACAAATACAATAATAGTTACACAAATGCAGTTGTGGTGAATGTATGTTTCAAGTACCGCAAATGTCTCACGTTTTCGGGCTTTGTTCGGAAAAGAAGTTGGGAAACCTTGACGGAATCCCTTTCAGTACTAACAAACTTCGTTGTGGCGAGGGGTACTAATATCAACAATTATGACAACAAACAGCGCCCCAGAGACAAGTCAACATAAATATATTATGTGGTTTTTTTTTACATCCTGGTGTTAGTCCATCGCATGTATGACGTGCTGTGATAGTGTGAAATAAGGCAGTCTTAGAAATTCCCGTTGTTAGTTAAAGAGGACATTTATAAATGATTCTTCAGAGTTTGTAGCTTGTTCCGCTTTGACATGTTTATTTGTTTACATTTTATTTCAGTTTTGTACAGTTCTAATTTGAAGAAAAGTTAAAGCATGGTTCGGAATTATAGCGCTACCATCATTAGATGATGACTGGTCCACGGCCCATTCACTAGTTAGGCTTGCGGACCAGTGTGAATCTCGAAGGCTGGCTTATCGTTTCTGCTACCAATCAACAATATATCAAATATCAGTATTAAACATTTTTAATCATGTTTTTACAAAAAAAAGTTTTTCAACCAACGACACATCGACGTCTAAAATAGTATCGACTTGCTATTTACATCGAATCTTTAATGACTCTATACGCTACACTCCATGACAAAGCGTTCATCAGTATGGATAAATATGACTTGGGTAATTCACTCGTCACGCCGAAGGCCCGGGTTCGATCCTCACACTGGTACTTTGTGCGAAGACAGTGATATTGTTGGAATATTGCCAAAGGAGACCTAAAACCACACTGTTTGCCCATACGCAATATGCGAATCTTGTGAGGTGTCAACAGCCTTGAGACTACGTAATTAGTGGAAAACGGTAATGGCGGCCATTTAATTATCAACAATTAATGAAAATCATGGAGATTGGAAGAAATGAAGTACTTACAAATAGTCGGGTGATGGACTGAAACCATTGCCACTGAAGCAGCAATTCATTCTTCATCAAGTTACTTTCAAACAGCTGCCAGTTTGCCATTCATAACTTTCAATCGAGAGATATATTTGGCATCGCAAGCTGTGTGTTTATCGAGATTGCATATCGTCTGCTACGCTGCCGTGACGCGACAGTCAAAACATCATGTATCAACCAATGAAATTTCAGACCTCACTCTGACTTCGCCTCAAATGCATATTCATGAGAATCCCGTGCTTAGCGTGACGACAATAAGGGACCGTTCATAATTTATGGCTGTGTGAGTGTGTGTGTGTGTGCGCGCACGCGCATCTGTTCGTGCGTACGTGTGTGTGTGTGTGATATGATTTTAAGGGGGTACCCATTTTGTTCTGGGGAGCAAGGGGTGGTCAGCAGTTTTGTACACACGTACTGTGTGTGTGTGTGTGTGTCAGCAATTTTATACATAAAATCATGTTTAAAATTATGCTTAGAAATTATGAGAAGGGAGGGGGTCATTGATTTTGTACATGACATGCAAGGGGGCACTTAAACATAACGTTTAGAGGGGGTCATCACTCACATTGTACATGCTTCTCCATAAAAATCAGCACCCCTCCCCACCACCCCTAGCCATAAATTATGAACGGTCACTAAATTCCAATATACATCCTACGAGTAATCAACATTAAAGTAGTATTGTGAAACCGTCATTGGCTCAATTATGAGCTGTTTCAAGATTAAGTCCGTTTGTTTCAATGCCGCTTTGAACATTACCTCAGTTAAATCACGGAGATCCTACTGTGGGCGGATTCCTCGGTCTGATAGTGCTAAAATATTGCTAAAAGCGGTATAAAACCACTCGCACACACGCATTCCAGAAAAACAACTGACGGGCCTCGGGTCTATAAGTAATCAGTAGCATATTAATATCATGTTGATCAGTATGACGACAACAATACAACATTTACAACTGAAACTGTTATATATTACAATCAATGCAACGGTTTGGATATGTTTTTGACAAAGCTATTTTACATCATTATTTTTGCATTATGGTGATTCCAGGTTGAGCGTTTTAGGTCCACCACAGAGTTAACCTTGAACAGTCAATCTCTGGACGTTGTGTCTTTGGATTGTACTCAGCAGCACTACAGCCAAATGGCGGATTCAGTCTTAATCAGACAATCTAGTAATTAACATCATGAGCAACGATCTGCGTTAAAGTAGCATTGAGATACGATAACATGCAACAACCAAGTCACAATGGGTGACCATCCGATCCCGTTAGTCGCCTCTTACGAAGAGCATCGGTTCATTTTCTGGAACATTGATTGTCATGCAAAATGTCCCGAACACGTGTTTCAAATTTGGTAAATATAATATACGGAAGACTATCCTAACAAATTTGATCATTTGAAAATGGCCTGTGGCATTTGTTTCAAGGACAACCACTGACTCTCTATTCTGCATGTCTGCAGGGTGACGGAATTCGAGTTCACGTACACTAATGCGTAGTCTCTGAATATATGTAATTTGTATAAAAACAAATAAGAGGTTCAGAGGAAATCTAGACTTGCTTCATTTGGAGCTTTAGCATTGCAGAAAGGGCCTGGGAATGGAAAATAATGCGGTTCAGGGAGACAGAACAGATTGAATTTCTTGGCTTTTTTCAAAAGATTGAGACATCACTCGTCAGGCTTTACGTTTGCACCCTGCAAACATGCCCTGCTATAAAAGAAATGCTTTTGAAAGTGTTAAACCTTATCAAAACATAAAATTAACAGTAGATTCAACTTTGTGCATATATTGTAGGCAATACACGCTACAACAAATCAGGTGTGGAACTTCCGAGGTAGGTCTTCAAATCACTGATTGTTGATTTGAAAAGTTTACATGGAATAGTGTCCTTCTGCAGTCTTTTGTATGCTTCGTATCTATGACAACCACCAAATGAGTAGTAGTAGTCTCCCCCTTGTCGCCCTGTGATCCATAGCACGTCAATCGGAGGAACATCATCACTGGTTTCCGGGTTCTGAACACAGAAG